TGAGAATGAATATATATGCGCTAATCATAACGAGAGCTCACGAGTCTAGGCATGGAGATTTTTTTCTTACCACATATGGAAATGAAGTGGCCTTTTATAGAGGCCTCAAGGCAAGCAAGAAGGAGGTACCTTATGCTTCGGTGAAATTTTTGGAAAAGAACACCCTTGCTTCATCTGACTAACTTTTTGTCCCGACGCCGCGTGTCTTCCTCTGGCGCTTGATGGTATGGAGAGGGGATACGTGATGCGGGTATGTGTCCAAGGGTGCCGAGAGACCTAGGGTGGGCGGAGTGAGCCGAAGGTGGTTGAGGTGACCCGGGGTGACTGAGGGGATTGACCCCGGGGTGGCTGGAATGACCCAAAGGTGACCGGGGGTGGCCGAGGTGACCCAAGGTTATGGACCCCAAGGTGGCCTGGGGTGATTGACCTCGAGGTGGCCAGAGTGACCCCAAGATGGGATAGATAACCCGAGGTGATTGACCCTAGGGTGGTTGGAATGACCCGAAGGTGACCCGGGGTGATTGAGCCCGAGGTGACCCGGGTGATTGACCCCGGGGTGGCCGGAGTGACCTCGGGGTTGCCGAGGTGACCCGAGGTTGTTGACCGTGAAGTGACCAGAATGACCCCCAAGGTGGCTCGGGGTGATTGACCCGGGGGTGGCTAGAGTTACCCTAAGGTGGGCTAGGTGACCCGAGGTGATTGACCTCGGGGTGACCCGAGGTAATTGACCCTGAGGTGGCCAGAATGACCCCAAGGTGGCCAGATGTGATTGACCCTGGGGTGCCCGGAGTGACCCCAAGGTGCGCTAAGTAACTCGAGGTGATTAATGATGGTTGTTGAGTAGGGACTATCTGGGAAAGTTTTTGCCAAATTAAATTTTTTAATTTGGGGTTCATCAGCTTCCCCCCTTGTAGTCGTAAAATTGAACGAGGGAGATTTTGCGGCGAATATCACATTCTTCTTGGGCTCTCTGGAATTTTCGTGGATCTTGTGATATGTACGTAAAACATCAAACCAATTTTGGCTCATTGAATTTGAATGGTGGAGTCGAGACGGTAGAGGATTAACCAATTATGGGTCACATATGTGTGGAACGAACCAATCGTAGCGTGTTAAGTGAAGAGGACTTGAATTAGTATTAGGTCAATGTTGGTCCATTTGAATGGAAATAATGAAACAATGTTGTTTAAGAATGGAGAGAATGAACAAATTTTGTTCATGCCTTGAGCGAATGAACCAATCTTGGCATCGAATAAACCTTAATATGGGTTATAGCCATATACAATTCTTGTTAGATCTCTGACATTGTATTCGATATTTCATCTAGTTTTTCATCATTCTCGTTGTCATTCTAGCCATATACGATTCTCATTGTTTTACGATTCCACTAAGATTACTTTTGCTTCTCACATGCGTTTATTTTGACATTGATGATGGCGTCTATGACAGTCGGGTGGCACCCATAGGGATGATAACACCCAAAGGAGAACACTTTGATGTGGGTCAGACATACTATTATCATGATGATGATCTATAAGACGACAATTTGGTGGGGGAGTCAATCACACAAGGTGGTGAAAGAGCCACAATGGTCATGTGACCACGACAATATAGTGGCGATAGGTGAGATGACGAAGGCGAAATATGATCACACCCCCATTGGCTATTGTCACTCCAGTGAAGAAGAAATGGAGATAATGATAATAGTCGATGCATCTCATCTATCAATGTCACAATTCGTAGGAGGTTGGCACATCATAGAGTCCCATGATGGACAAGCTCAATGTTTTGGCTAATTCAATTGTAGTTGCACAAATTGATGCTTTCATGTTGCAGATGTTGTAAGGTATCAAACTTTTTCCAAATCGTAATGCAATGGTTGAGAAATGACTCGTTACCCAACTCCAGTGTAATAGTTGGATAATTAATTACATTTCAGTCAAATGTTAAATGCAATGATTGAGTGACGACTTTCCCTCAATCATGAAGTGCAATGATTAGAGGATTTATCAACCTTAGTGCAATGACTGAGTGAAAAAAATATATGCATGCAAAATGACCCCAAGGTGACTGAGGTGATTGGTCTCGGCCTCTCGGGGGTGGCCGAAATGACCCAAAGGTGACCCGGGGTGGCCGAGGTGACCCGAGGTTATTGACCCTGAGGTGGCCCGGGGTAATTGACCTCGGGGTAGTCTGAGTGACCCCAAGGTAGGCTAGGTGACCCGAGGTGATTGACCCCGGGGTGGCCGAAGTGACCCGAGTTTGTTAACGCCGAGGTGGCCAGAATGACCCCAAGGTGATCCAGGGTGATTGACCCCGGGGTGGACGGAGTGACCTCAAGGTGGGCTAGGTGACCCGAGGTTATTGACCCCGAGGTGGCCGGAGTGACCACAAGGTGGTCAGAGGTGATTAACCCCGGAGTGCCCAGAGTGACCCTAAGGTGGGCTAAGTAACTCGAGATGATTGATGAGGGTTGTTGATTAGGGACTATATGGGGAAATCAAGTACAATAGGAAAATTATAAAAACAATAGAACAGTTACATAAGCAAAGTTAATTCACTCCTCAATGGAATTAAATTCCTGCCATATCAACTTCCAAAATATGTCTTAGTGATAATTGAACCGAAGAGTATAACACTTCTCCTTGGCTCATAGGCTTGGTAGTCTTGGACAATCTTGCTGTACACTTGGTAGTCATGAATCATGATTCATGGTAGGCTGGAGTCAATACATGAAAATAGGCTCATTGGGCCTAGCACTTTCGTTCCTCGTTAATGTGGATCAGCACACAAAGCCCAAGCATGGGCCCATGGACCAGCCCACCATGCATGAAGCGAATATGTGGGTTATTTGACTTTTCTTTGTGGTGGGTATATTCGCCGACCCCGCATACTCATTAAATGGTTTGACAATAGAAGTGCATGGCTTTTGCATGGTGAGCACGTGGCTGCATTCTTCTGTTTGGAGTCTAACTCTGCGCATTCACTTCTTTGCTACCTTCGAACGACTACATTATTTACCCTAGTAAATCAAGCCTAATTACCATGTTCAGTCAGTTTATTTGGAACGCAAATTAACAACATATAGGTAACGTGGTAGTTAATCATGGCATTGCAGGCATGACTAGGAAGTTAAATTATAGGGTCCTCCATCGAATTCTTCTTGATCCCATATATCGATCTGTGTCGTCTGTCGATGTCTCTCTCTCTCTCTCTCTCTCTCTCTCTCTCTCTCTCTCTCTCTCTCTCTCTAAACAGAGGATCATAAGATGAGGGAAGGGTGATGAAGAAAGAAAGAATAAAGGGGAAAACAAAAGGGGAAACTCGCGAGGTAAAAAAGAAGGAGAGAGAGAGAGAGAGAGAGAGTGAAGGAAGGTAATGAGAAGGCCATTATATTGATGATGAAGATGTGCAGAGCTTTAGCGACACTTGTTAATGGCGAACCCTACACTCGTCGGGAATCTGTTGGGCCACACCGACTGAGTCTCCTCCTCTCGTCTTTGCCTTTCTTTTTTTGGTGGCTTCTCTGTCTCTCTCACGCAGAACGAGAGAGAGAGAGAGAGAGAGAGAGAGAGAGGGGTTTTTATTATAAGTAAGGGTAGGTAGCAAGTGGGGGCGTTGGCCGGGCGGGAGGGTTTTGATGGTCGGACAGCGGGCAACGGTGACCCATGAATCGGCAATGTACATTTGGCAGTCGGGACACTGGCCAGTTGCTCCTCCACCGTCACCTTCTATTCAGCCCTAGCCTTCACCCCCACGTTACTTGCTAGCTAGTCTCTGCTAGCTACCTGCAAAATTCATTTCATCTTCATTTGTTTGTTTGTAGTTTAGCCACCTACCTACCATGTTATAATTGGAGAGGCGAGCGATCTAGATAGAAATATACATATATATTAAGCACCAAGGGAACGACAAGATAGAAATATCAAATTTGGAGTCACGGCGAACTCGAATATGGTCTCCCAGCCATAATATAATATATATAGTCTCATATTGCAAGGTTTAAGTACATGAAGGATCGATGGCTGATATCTTCCTCACTCTTGAGTTGTTGAACATATTAAAAGTCTTGTACTTGATATCAACTATGCATATCGCGGTTTAAAATTTACAAGAATTCATCATATTTTTATCGGTAATACTACTTAGAATCGTGTTTGAGGTTCGAAGATGGTACAAAAACTACATCAGTTGAACAAAACAACTCTAATATCACGTATCTAATCCTAATAGCGAGATTTGGGAAAGTGGTTATGGTACAATGGGGGATGGGAGGGGGTAAATGGCATGGGAGACAAAGCAAGAAGAGGAATGGGAGAGTCACAAATGGCATGCAAGAGAGGGCAGCAGATACTCTGGACTTTTTTGTTGCTAGCTGCTGCTGCTGCTGCTGTCTGCTACTATGCTCTGTATAAGCGCCACCATCATATATTCATATCATCTTTCTTCCTCCTGTTTTGCCAAAAATAGTAAAAAAAAGGAGAGGAGAGGGAGAGGGGTAAGAGATCAAAAAGACCAAATTCACAGCTAAGCTAGCTATATCTGTTATCTTCTTTCTCCTTCTCCCCTCCCCCAACTACAATTCACCCTTTAATTTTAACTTTTCTCTTGGCCCTATTCTCCCCATTAAGTGTTTGCCGAGCGTCCTCCATATCGTCTCCCAACACCAATTACCTCACTCTCACTTCCACTATTACTGCTCCATCTCTTTCCCAACGTACGCTTAGCTTCCCTCCCCTTGCCTCCCTCCCTCCTTTTATGATCTGCTCACTGAAATCTAAAATCCCCAGGGCAGGCAGCACACAGACAGACTTACTATTCCTAGAGAAACCTTTTCTTGCCTCCCTTCCCAATTAAGCTCCATATCTATACCTAGCTAGATAGATAGATAGAGTCATCAGATCAGATCAGATCGGGTCAAGCAAAGCAGCACAAGGGGGCTGTCCTAGCTAGCTAGCTGCACAGCACGGGTAGATGATGATGGTCGTGATTAGATAATCATGATGGTGGTGATGAAGATGGATACTGATGATTGTGCAGCTGCTGCTGCTGACGTGGAAGGCCAGGAGCCGGCCTGTAATTGGATGGAGCCATCTGGCGCTGGAATCACGGCCAACATCACTACTTGTACTGATCATCATCGTCACTCCTCCTCTTCTTCGGGTCATACTGTCCACGGTCATTGTATTCGGGTCGGGCAGGGGGTCATGACCCGCCTTGCTTCTGCTTCTGCTGCTGCTGCTGACGACCTCCTGCTCTTCCCCTCTTCGTCGTCGTGTTATGGAGTGAAGACGAGGAAGAAGAGAATGGCGAGGCAGAGAAGGCACAGCTCCACCATTACCCATCTCTTCTCTTCCTTCAACACCACTGCTGCTGCTGCTGCCTCCCACGTGCCGCCTCCTCCTCCTCCCCCCGCACGTGTGAGCTCCACTTCCCCACTCCCCTGCCTCCACCTTCACTCTAATTTACTTTTTTTCTTTCTTTCTAATTCTAATAATAATCGTCAGTTCCCCACTTATATAAGTTTCTAACTAAACAGACAGGGGATACAGTACTATTCTGCATTCATTTCAATACAATTCATCCTCACGTACATATACAAACGTCCACCTTACTTTCCGTCTTTTAATTTCTAGCTCCTGGATATAATATTTGTCGGTTTCCTGCCAATGCCATGGAAATGGGTCGCACACATTGCTCCTTCTCTTCTTTTAATTTGTATCCTTTAACCATATTAAAGATCATACGGGAAAAAAAAAAAGAAGAATTTCTTTGATTAGTAGTTTGTTTGTTGTTAACGATTGCTTGAATTGTAAGATAAATAAATAACGTGGACTGGAACTGCAATTGCTGTGGGGTTATGAATCGTTGAACAGGAAATTGACCCAAGGAGTTTGAGGTTCTTGTTCCAGAAGAAGCTCAAGAACAGTGATGTTAGCTCCCTCAGGAGAATGGTACTTCCCAAGGTCTCTCTACCTCATCCTTTATACTAATTTCTCCTATATATTTCTGGCATTCCTAGTTATAGATGTGCATTCGTTCATGTTGGGATCGTCACTACAATTCCTCAACATTAATTACGCTATTTGTGATTGCATATATAATATAATGAATGACTTGGATTCAGAAAGCAGCAGAGGCACACCTCCCTGTGCTGGAGTCCAAGGAAGGCATGTCCATCACCATGTATGACTTGGATGCCACCCATGTCTGGACCTTCAAGTACAGGTTACCTTCTCTATTATCTCCCTCCCTTATTCCCAAACTAAATTAAATGCTGCAGGGCTTGCAAAATAAGATCGATTTCAGGAACAAAACTAACTCAAGTAGCTGTAGCTGGCTTACTAACTAGCTAGTCCAATGCACTTGTCCTAGAACGTTCTGATTTGTGTCCAACCAATCCTCTGACCACTAGGACTCGATCGACTTGATTAACAAGGCTTAAATGAATAATACATAACAGAGCTCATTCTGTATTGTCTACTTCAGGTATTGGCCTAACAACAACAGCAGAATGTATGTCTTGGAGAAGACAGGTCAACAAATTAAACCACCATACCCTCTTTCCCTATGCTTGAATTGGTAACTGACTGATAATATCCTGACCTTCAAAATCAATCGCCTTATATGACCAGGTGACTTTGTTAATGCACATGGACTGCAATCAGGAGACTTCATCACACTTTACCAAGACTGCCAAAACCAGCAGACCTATGTATGTGATTAAGTTTCCTCACAAGAACGTTACCACAATACAGACACATAATAATAATAATAATAAGTGATTCGTGTTAAGCGTATCGTTCTGACGTGATTAGTTTTCTTTTCTTTGGTAGGTCATCCAAGCTAGAAAGGCTTCTGAGGAGGAGAGCATATTTGCAGACATAATGAACAGTGATGTCATGAGCGACCACATCCTGGTTCAGGACCTTGATCATCCCCACCACCACCACATTGCTGGAAAGACCAACTCCGCCCTCTACTACGATAGTAATGCAATGGAGTGCGCGGCTGCCAGTTTGTCCTTCATTTACGACAGCACAACCACCTTCTCCAACGACTCCCCCTTGGATTTTTTGGGTGGATCCATGACCAACTTCCCCAGAACCGGGAACCACCTGGAGAGCTTTGGTTCCATTGAGGCGCTTTCCCTTGATGACTTCTATTAGCTAGCCAGCCCAGCCTGGGGAATATATATGTTTGCCTCTGCAGTATGACTATCTTTGACTTTAATTTGCATTGCACAAATATATATATGTGTGTTTTGGTTGGATGATGCAATTGATTTTGCTGAGAGCCCTCCCGCAAGATATCTATTATAGGTTGGTTCTGTACTAATTATGAATGTCTCTTTACCGACTGTGGCCTTCATACATTTACAGACATGTTGGTATGCCGTATGTATTAATTGTAATAAAGTGGAACACTAGCTAACTAGCTTCCTAGCAAAATGTAGTTTGTGGGAACGTAACTTTCAAGTGTATGCAATGTAGCTAAGTCCCATCTTTTGTTTTTCTTAAAAATACAATCATGTAATTAATACTCATTGAGACAAAAATTAATGTTAGTTTGTGGGAACCTATAGCTATATTGTTTGATTGTGGATAAAACCTTCAAATGTCAACTACCGAGTTAAGCAAAATTTGTAAATAGGTTGTGCAAACTTCAAAAACCTGACATAACCTTAGTTAAGCTATAAGTGTCCACATGATCACCAATTCATGAGTAAGGTATGTAACGATATGTTTTTTTTTTAAGAAATGTAACAATATGGTTATAGTGACAATATGCTAACTAAACTAAGTAATTTGTAATGAGAGTAACTACATATAATTTGTGTTTTGTTCAATCAAGTCAAAACACCGAATGAACGCTTCACATTACTAAAATCATCGTTACAATAACCCACACAAACACCGAACTTGACCCTTTTCCAATTTATTGCCAACTTGCAAGCCTAGCTCCCAATTTGCGAGCAAATATACTAGTACTGTAAGAACATACTCATCCCATAACTAAAAGAATGAGCGAGTGTGCGCATGCGAGTGCTAATGAGGCAAGTTTCATTAAAATGATGATGTTCTTTGATGCACTCAGTATAAGTTAGATAGAATGACAAAAAAAATATTATTTTGATGTATATTGCTAAGTGTATCTAACATTTAATCAAAATATTGTAGTTTTACTGATTGTTAAATGTTACGTCATTAAATACGACTACGGATTAACCAAAATCACTAATCCACCAACAAGCCCGTCTAGCTCAGTCGGTAGAGCGCAAGGCTCTTAACCTTGTGGTCGTGGGTTCGAGCCCCACGGTGGGCGTAAGTTTTTCGCCACTGGCTTCGCTTTTAACCGCCGGCGACAATAATTTCAGCTGATTGTTTTAATCATTCAATCTTCCGACGAGGATGCGTTGGCATGATTTAAGTGGTTCGTGGAAAGGCCTTACGGTGCAGAGCGTCACAGGAAGGCCAGCGATCTATACACGCACGTTACGTTCCTTCCCTTCCCAGTTCCACATCTCTTCTTAGTTCTTCCTTTTCTTATCTCTCTCTAATCCGCCCTTGGCGAACAGCAATTTCTTCACCTCCGATCATCAATGGCGTCGAGATACTGGGTGGTCTCTCTGCCGGTGAAGGACTCTGCTTCTCCGCTATGGAATCGCCTGCAAGACCAAATCTCCCGCCATTCCTTCGACACTCCCCTCTACAGAGTAAACCATCCTCTATCTCTTGCGATTTCCCTGCTTTTCGAACTGCCCAGATTACATCTTCCGTGTTTTCCCTCTTTTCCCGTTTCAGTTTAGCATTCCTAATCTCCGCGTGGGAACCCTTGATTCGCTCCTCTCCCTCAGTGATGACCTGCTCAAGGTTTGTTGATCTCTTTTCGTATGTTACCTTCTCAATTTTTTGGTTTCGGAATAGCTTATGTGGTGTTTGATTCGACGAGGGCAGTCCAATAGCTTCTTAGAGTCGGTGTCGCACAAGATTAGGAGGCAGATCGAGGATTTGGAGAGAGTTTCCGGCGCAGAAAGTAATGCTCTCACTGTTGATGGTGTGCCCGTTGATTCGTACCTCACCAGGTGAATAATTGAGTTCGATCCTATGGGAAAGTTTGGTTCTTTTTGGCAGAATTGGATCTCTGTGTTATTGGTGACTGAATTATCTGTGTTGCGATGATAGGTTTGTTTGGGATGAAGCGAAGTATCCTACGATGTCTCCTCTGAAGGAGATCGTTGATGGAATTCATAGTTCAGTAGTGAAGATTGAAGATGATCTCAAGGTGACTGACTGCTGGTTTGCTGAAACTTTTTGTGTAATTGGATTCGAACTTTGTGAACACTGAAGGAGATCTCCCGCTTCCTGTTTTAGGTTCGTCTAGCTGAGTATAATAATGTTCGCAGTCAGCTCAATGCTATTAATCGCAAGCAAAGTGGAAGGTACAATCTTTTCCATTTGATTGCTGTGTGTACAAGAAGTACAGCTTTCAGTTTCTTAACTAAGGGAGGCATTACTTTTGATTTGTCTGTTCAGCTTGGCTGTTCGCGATCTGACCAGTTTGGTGAAACCTGAAGATATAATTTCCTCTGAACATCTCATAACCCTTCTGGCAGTTGTCCCCAAGTATTCACAGAAGGACTGGTTGGCTAGCTATGAAACTCTGACTAATTATGTGGTAAGATCCATGTCTCTCAGCTTGAATAGTAGTTGAGTTGCTTTTTTCTATATCACTCGAGATCTCTAGGACTGACAACTCTAGGTTTAGGCTTATCGTTCCAGTACTTGAGTCACGGTTACTTCTTTTCTTGTATTTGTGCTTTTGCATCTTATCCTGTTCGGCTCTTTCAGGTTCCAAGGTCGTCGAAGAAGCTGTTTGAAGATAATGAATATGCTCTCTACACTGTAACGCTATTCCGTCGTGTGGCAGACAATTTCAGAACAACTTCTCGGGAGAAGGGGTTCCAAGTGAGTAATATGTTCCCGTGCATTTGATATAGTGTCATTTCATGCATGTAACAATTTTTTTAATCCTACTTGTAGTCATCATGTGGCTTGGGATGTGTTTTCATGTGTTGAACGAAGGATTTAGTTGGGAATTTGCTGATGTGGCTGTTCTGATCATGTGCTTCAGATTCGTGACTTTGAATATAGCTCCGAAGCACAGGAAGGTAGGAAGCAAGAGATGGACAAACTAGTTCAAGATCAAGAAAGTTTGAGAGGCTCTCTTTTGCAATGGTGTTACACTAGCTATGGGGAGGTAAACATATTTTTCCTTGTTTTCTTCTATTATAATTTGAGAGTGCACCCGTGCTAAATAGTGATTGAATGCCTGGTCTTTGCCTGCAATTTGATATCTATTGTTTCGTGGACCCGAGAATTTGAGCTTTTTGTCAAGAGCTAAAGATTACTGTTAGTTAATTGGAAGAGATAAAATCTATCTTTTGGCAAGTGAGATTTAGGCAATTGCTAGATGACATGTGCCTACCAGAACCAAAGTTGGAGAACCATGAGGTTTCAGTCTGAAATTTGTTTATTTCTAGCTCTTGTTTGTCAGTCTACTATTTTGGGTTTGATGATCTCTCTCAAAGAAGATGGAGGTTTCAGCCTAATTTTTTGTTTTTGGGCCTGACATATGTCCCTCAAATGTTCAATTACGCTACAGTGTTGATAGCTGATCCTCTTTTCCTGCTCCCTCTTTTCCCCGCAGGTTTTCAGCTCATGGATGCACTTCTGTGCTGTGCGTATATTTGCAGAAAGCATTTTGAGATACGGATTACCACCGTCTTTCTTGGTAAATATTGTCTTACATAGCACCTCTCTCTTCTTTCTCAATGGTTGGCCTTCTTATGGACTGTTCGGATGCTTTCTTGCAGTCATGTGTTGTAGCCCCAGCTACCAAAAGTGAGAAGAAAATACGCTCTATCCTTGAGGGCTTGTCTGATGCTGCAAACAGGTGAGGTTCCGTCGATGCTTGGTAGCGTATTTGAATAAGAAGAAGGCAAATTATGGTCCTACAGGCAATGCTGGATTTATTGTGGTTGATGGGTGACTAGTCTCTTTGTTGAAATGGTTCATTTTCTTTTGATTTATGCAGCACCTTCTGGAAATCAGAAGATGAAGCAGGGATGGCAGGCTTGGGAGGCGATGTCGACGGACACCCTTATGTGTCCTTCACGATCAACCTCCTTTGATCTTGTATTTAAGATCTCCCCATCCGAGTTCCCTGTTTGTGTCAGAGACCCAAAGTATTTTTATTGAACAGCAATAAAGAGAGACGATGATGAAGAATGGTAGTAGTGTATATTAGCACTTGGTAGCTCAAATTCTTTGGTTTTTAATCGCGATTGGAGGGTCTCTGTATGATTCCAGCTGGATCTTATACTGAGAGTGTTAGGCAAGACTTGCGGGAAGGGAAGGTCTTAGTTAAACTACATATACATGACCATTGTGGAAGAGTACATTTTCATTCTTCTCTTTGTCCTGCCGAGATTTTGGGGTCGTCATATGATTTGGCATCGTATCTATCTATGTATTTAATCCTTGTATTGTGTATGAATGATGTCTTTCTATTCAGGTATGCAAGCTTGCCCTCTTGTATTATGAAATATTTGAGGAACAAATCCTGGGATCGTTTTCGCTACTGAGATGCCAATGTTTCCAGTTTCTGCTGATACTAACATGCCGTTGGTGAGCAGTATACAACTGAACTGCTGTGGAGCTTAGAAGAAAATAAATTCCTTGCAAGTAGTTCGGCAGGTTCATAACGACTATAGGCTTCGGCTCACATCCTCCTACAGTACCAAATTTTCCCCAACAAGAAGCAGAAAACAACCTCCATAAGACAGCTGCTGAAACGGGAATCACATTGCATAAGCGCAGTAAGCTACCATTTGAATTGAATAAAATTGTGCTGTGCAAACGCATCCTAGTCACGCTAATTGTAGCCAAGGTTACCCTTTTCTTTTTACTAACCAAATAAATGCATTTGTCTGCATCAAATTTCCCAAGGGACGCAGAAACATCCCCCGCCCTCAAAATCCAAAACCTAGAATAGTCAACTTCGACAAAAATGGCTTATAACGTCTGGGTATCTTACCCAACAAAAGGGAGTAAATCTTCAACAGTGTCATTTAAGGCTATGAATCCACCTTCTAGTTCCCGCTTATTTGTCCTATAGCTCTTTACCAAACTTCACAGAAAGCAACCAAAATCGATCAGATCTTCAATTCATCGTCCTAGGCCTCTGCAGTCTCGGTAGAAGGAAGTGCAGCTGGTGCAGGGGTAACACCACCAGTGGTTGGCCTGCCAAACCCAAACAGTTCGGAAATCAGTTCCCAAATTATACTTACTGAATCAGGATAACTGACAAACGAAGGCACTAGAAACAGATACTTACAGGCCAACGAAAACCTTGAATGCATCATAGATACCCCATTGAGCTCCAGTGAGAGTTCCAATCATGACAATACGCAGAGGAAGCCCACGAGTGAACAGACCAACCATCCCAATCTTCTTCACAGCCTGTAGCAGCAGAAAAGAGTGTGATGGTCAGCAACGATTTGGAATAAGTATACTCCGCAAAGCTTCACAGGGCAGAACCAAGGACTCACATCACCAACGGTAGCTCCCTTGGCATTGTTGAGGAAAGACACAAGGTTGTCAGCTGGATGGGAGACAATTGCGCACAAAACACCAGCAACATACCCACCAGCAAAGCTCACACCAAGCTGCAGTCCTTTGCTGCATTCGCTCTTCGGCTGGGGGATTGCATGTTTGTAGATGAGCTCCACAATCATCTCGAAGGAAGCAAACTTCATCATGGTGTCTGCATAGGAAGATAAACAGTCAAAACACTTTGACAGACAACTAAACTACCAACACAAAGAGAGAGGATCACTGCTATAGGTACCAGCATGAAATTGACTTAACCAAATCCCATCCTAAGTAACATTGAATGTCACGTAATCATACTTTGACCAGACTCTACTTATGTCTGCCAATTTTAAGTTAGATAGATGCAGGATGACATTTGATTTCTTTGAATTTAGCATTCAATACATAAGCAATTCACATCAGCATTATTCCATTTATCTCAAAGCGACCAGAACCGAGAGCAAATTTGAATAAGAGAAATCATTGTGTTTATACGGGCAAAGAATAACTCTAATGGCCCAGGCTAATGAAATTTCTGCTGACCACACATTTCAGATACCAAACAAGACTAATTTGATGGAAATTGGACAACAAAAGACCAGCTGAACGCAACCAAACCTCGAAATACTTCAGCTCACAATCTATACAACAGCAGCATTCTCTTCCTATCAGCATAACTATAAAATAGTCTAGAATACTACAAGCCGCTATCAAAGAGAAAACGAGGATAACAAATTACTGAAAGAAAAACAGTTTCCAGGACTCCATTGACAAGGAATTTGAACCTTGTGGCACAGGATAACGGTTCAAGTCAAACTTGGATGACCACACATTTCATACACAAACACAAACAGAACTTAATGGAGATTGGATGCAAAATCAGCTGAAATGCAACAAAATCTCATTATCATCAGTCTTCCGTATATACTACAACTGCCTAACCTTCGATTCAGATACTAAAAGGCTAGTTTCAAACACAATATAAAGAGCACTAATTACTAAAGAAAAGTAGGTAAGGGGTCCACTTACAAGGAATTTGGCGTCCCCAGAGAGGAACAAGACCCTTGTACAATCTGCATGATAACAGTAAAAGACAATGTCAGGAATGCGCCGAGCTGTGATGGATATTAAACAACTCATTCACTCGAAAAAGAAGCAACGGATATTAAACAATTCATTCAGTTGAATAGAAGCACATACCCCAAAACACCTTCAGATCTCACGAACTTGGGCATACCATCAGAGAGACCTCTGGCGAACCCAGGCTGAGTCTGCACTCTAACCTTCACTGCCTCAAACGGGCAAAGAGCAATGTCAGCAATCACCTCAGCAGAGGCAGAACCAGCAAGGTAGATCAAGGTCTTGTACTTGGCAGAATACTCGGGGCCAGCAATATCAGAGTAGTACTTCTTGAAGAATTCATAGAAGCCAAACTTGCAGGCGCCCTGAGCACTGTAACCAAGGAGTGTAGGCACCCATCCCCTGAAGAAACCTCTTACACCTTGCTCCTTGAGCAACACCCCGAAGCCAGACGAGATGCTCTTGTATTTGGTAGGGTCAATCTGGAAAACAGCAATTCCATTCGTCTCAGCAAACATTCTTGCTAACACATATCTATAGCATATCAAGGAATCGGAGCGAGAAATTCACACGGAAACTATCGAGAACAGCAAACACGAGAAGGGCAGATCAAAATGATTTCCAGATATTCAACCTCAATCGACTTCAATACGACTACTACGAGACCGACGAAGAAAAGTTACGGATCTGAATTCTGGTATATCGATAAACAGGTCAAGCGTAGTCAAACCAATCAGAATCGTAGATCTGAATCAACAAAGAAATTGACAATTTTAACGCAAGAAACCTACACCTAACAAGGAAAACGAGCAGGAGACGATCGCGAGAACGAAACAATCCACGAGCTAAGAGCAACAACGCAGCCAAACAAGGATCTGAAATCCAGAAATGAAGAAAAACGCTACCAGATCTGAGCAAACGTTACCTGCATATTGCACTTGACGAGGTCAAGAGGAGTGACGGCCATGTGAGTGAGACCGCAGCTGAGGATACCGCCGGCGGTACAGGCGGCGTAGAAAGCCGGAGAGTACATCTCGATCTTCCCGGGCTCGCTGGGAGCGGGGATAGCAAAGCCACCGGCGGCGGCGGGCTTGCTCATGAGGGAAGGGGAGTGGTGGGAGGCGGCGGGACTGGAGTTTAGGAGCTTGGAGAGGGTGAAGGACTTGGAGGAGACGGAGGAAGAAGAGTAGAGGAAGCTCGGGATTAGCGAGTTCTTGGTGGAATCGGAGAAAGCCATTGCTGCGTTTGTCGTCGAAAGGGAGGTGAAAGCTTTGAGAGAGAGAGACGAGAGGTGAGAGAACTCTGCTATCTCTCCGCTGCCAAAGCTTTCGTTTGCTGCCGAGAAAGGTGGAAATGAAATTTCCTGACAGTATATAAGCGATCGCGAGTTCGGACCAACCCTGGCTCGGCCTGGGTCATGACGAGTCGTTCCCTAATCCGCGTGAATTGAACGAGACCGATGCAGAGCGCAGGCACTCACACTCACACACACAGCATGCACCTGAGTTTCGAGTTATTTACGGTAATGCCACCGACTGGGATGACACTTCTCACTTCTGACTAGGGATGGCAAGTTGGCAACAAAACCCGAACCCACGGGTACCCATCCGACCCAACCTGGTCAACGCGGGTAAACCCCGTGTTGACGGGTTTTGGGCCGAGTTCGGGTTTAAACCCGCTACACTATCGCGGGGTCGGGTTTGGGTTTAGGTAAACCCGACCCATGGGTACCCGCCCACACATATAATTACTTTCCCGGTATATTTAATATTCTAAATAATATATCTTCCTTAAAAAATTAATATTCTTTATACTTTCCCGGTATATTTAATATTCTAAATAATATATCTTCCTTAAAAAATTAATATTCTTTATGTTTGTGGAGACATGTATAATTTGTTTTTTCTAATTGTTTAGAATGAAGTTGATATTATGAAGTGGAGAGTGAAGAAACTTAGTTGATGAGGAAGAAGCTTTCAATTAATCTTTTTGTTTATAGATGTTTATCTTTAATTTTGAATAATTTGTATTGATCATTTGCGGTTTGCTTGTATGCTCTAGATTGATGTTTTTTTGTATGATTAATTTGTATGAGAAAATTGATGTTAAACTTTTATTTTGAAAGAAACTTGTTATTGTAAATTTTTTACCACAAAAACCCACGGGTACCCATGAACCCACGGATACCCAGCGGGTTGGGTTGGGTTTGAGTTTTTCAAACCCAACGGGTTTTACCCAATTTTTTTGACGGATAAACCCATGGGTTTGGGTTTGGGTTTGACAAAACCCGACCCAACCCGACCCAATGTCATCCCTACTTCTGACCCTCTTCCCGCCTCGTTGACTAGTGCTGGCTACTTGGTCCGGGACTATTTGGTTTTACCCGAAACCGGACCGGGACCGGACTGGGACCGGATAGCAAACAATCTAATCTCATATTTGGGCTTAGATTTGAGGTAAAAAACCCGCATAAAGACCTGATAAGAGACCCCCAACACCTAAAATCAAGATAAAATTAGGACCGGACCGGGTCAAGACCGGATGGTATCCAATCCAATCTTTGGTCCTTATATTCCCGAAAAGACCGGACTGGGACCGGATCAATTTGATCCAATTTAACCAGACTGGACCGTATAGCCACCCCTATCGTTGACTACTCTTGTTAGTGGTTCCTGCCTCCTTGATTAATTATTTATGCTACATTCTCTCATTAAAAACAACATTCTCTTTTGATTCTTTGAAAAACATTTGTGTCCTCTACTTCTACCATTAAAAAAGTAATTTTTAATCTGGTTGAACTTTTCATTTGTGGCGATTCTTATCGTCATCAATTTTGATTTTTTTATTATTTTTGAGTACCTTTAAATTAATTTGTCCAGCGTAAATTTTAATTTTTCATGTACCAACTAATGAAGAATATATCTACGACGATACTCATTGTTGTTAACATCAACAAAAATCATCGCATTCAACTCTTCAATCACCGGAGGATGAATCCATTTGAAATCGTGTAGCTCTAAACAATCGGATTACATGTATGAAGCAAAACAATTAATACTTTTTTTTGGGAAGAAAAGAGTATGGTAGTATACAAATTGATTCCAAAGTTGTGGGATGGTGGTCAAGGTGGAAAGCAATAGGATGGTCAAAGGTGTAAATAATGGTAGAAGGGAGTGGCATATCCGCATATGTCAAAGCAACGGGGCCGGAGCCCAGCGATAATTGGTTGGGGAAAGGGCGGGTGATGGACGAATATTCCACGATCATGTCTCGGGAATGTCAACAGGCCGGAGCTCCGGTAAGGGAAAGAACGGTGGTGGCATATTGGACCCGTAACTAATTCCTATCTTTTGGGGACCTTAATATTTAATCACGTGATTTAATTAATTGGTCTTTCCTTCTTTTTTCGTTTCTCTGTTTCTGGTTGGAATTTTATGGATTCAATATCCAAGTTTGTAGAGTTGTCAACACCGTCCAATGTGTCCATATCCAGTCCAGTGTGAAGGTTGTAATTCTATTGCAGTCGGTAAGTACTAAGCTGTAATCAAGTTGTAATTCTACGTAAAAAGTAGTGCTGTACCCTGTGTCTGTTTTTACATTGATAATCAAAGGGGCTTCCTTTTGGAACCCATCGAGCTACTCCTATCATGGGCTAATAGCCTTCTCAGCATAAAACCAGCCAGAAAAGGCCTTACGAGTAATACCTCTCCGGCTTCAAGGTGCCTGGACAACACAAATTCAATTGAGCTAGCTAATATATGAAACACCATTAGGGATGGCAATGGGGCGGGTTTTACCAAACCCAAACCTAAACTCATGGGTTTATCCGCCAAAAAACCCCGAGGTAAAACCCGCTGGGTTTGAAAAACTCAAATCCAACCCAACCCGCTGGGTATTCGCGGGTTCATGGGTACCCGTGATTTTTGCGGTAAAAAATTTACAATAACAAATTTCTTCCAAATAAAAGTCTAACATCAATTTTCTCATAAAAATTTTCCATACAAAAAAACACCAATCTAGAGCATACAAGCAAACCACAAATTATCGATACAAATTGTTTAAAATTAAAGATAAACATCTATAAACAACATGATTAATTGACAGCTCATTCCTCCTTGTCAACTAAGCTTCTTCACTCTCCAGTTTCCACTCCATAATATCAACTTCATCGTACACAATTAGAAAGAAAAAATTACACATGCCTCCAAAAACATAAAGAAGATTAGTTGTTTAAGGAAGATATATTGTTTAGAATATTAAATCTACCGAAAACATTAATTATATGAGTGTGGACGGGTACCCATGGGGCGGGTTTGCCTAAACGCAAATCCAACCCGATGGTGATGTAGCGGGTTTAAACCCAAACCCGACCCAAAACCCGTCAATACGAGTTTTACTCGCGTTGACCGAGTTGGGTCGGGTAAGGTACCCGTGGGTTCGGGTTTTGTTGCCATCCCTAACCACCATGAATTAACGAAACCAGATAGTCCAACTACTAAAGGAAACAATCTCTAGCCAGACCTTACTGAACCACAAAAGTCCATTCTTAACGTGTGCATTTGGTTTCCTGCGGCAGGTTTCGTGCTCTGCCGGCCAAGAGAGATTCTCTGCAGCAAAATTAAATATGACTGAACCAAACGAACAACATGGAACATTCTTCCAGCACTTGGGACATGGAGGCAGCAGCAACCCCCTCAGCCCTCAGGCTTCACCACACTCTCTCAGGTAAAACCAAAACCTTCTAGCTAATTTCTTCCTGTGGTAATAAGGATATTATTAAATGTTATTTTGCAGGGTCGAACAAGAGATTGGAAGCTATGGAGGACGGAACTACCTCTATGACTAAAAGCAGTAAGAATGCACCAGAACGAATCCCAAAGCTTGAAGGGTTTGGGGCATCTTACAGTTCTTTAGCTGAAAGATGCGACCACCTGCTGTCGTCAAATCTATGCCATGAATCCAGCTCAATGTCTAGAGGAGCCTCTGAAGATCAAGTGCTGGCAGCTGAAAGTTCTTATCCACCAGATGCTGCTGCCACAGATAATGAGATCATGGTGAACCTAATCACCCAGCCAATGCATTCGCAGGGCACTGATGACAGAGAACCAGACTGGGCTGAGCTCAAGTTTCAAGTTGCAAAGCTGATGGAGGAGAATCTGTGGCAGCAGGCAGAGTTGGCAAGGAGAAATGTCGAGAAGAAAGTGACTATCTCCAGGCTTCAATCACAGGTTGAACATTTGAAGCGTCAGAATATGGCCCTCCAGGATTCTATCAGCTTCTATGAAATGGGGAAGAAGAATCATCGATCATCAACTTCAAAGTTGCACCAACTTTGGGACAAGCTCTTCAGAAGAGAATATACAGATTGATTATAGTCGCTTTCCCAGATCCAACCAGATCATATACTGTATATAACTTTAATCGAGAATTGGCATTGATGGTTACCAATAATCTCCACATGAACAAAAACCATCTTTGAAGTGGTGAAAACGCTTTGAGTCTCTTACTATTATCTCTCGATTCACAATCTTGGATATCAGCTTAATCACAGTATGACAATCCCCACAGACCCTTAGATTCTTCATAACTTGAATCATTGCTCCAGGAACCGAGTTCATAATCCCGAAGGCAACTGCTAGCTTCTCACTATGGCCTCTCAGATTTACTTCCTTCTCTTCCTCATCAATGTCATGTGGGACAGAAGTCATATCAGGTACATAACCAGCTCGCTGCAGCTTCACCCCAAGTTCCTCCAGATAGCGGTAAATGTCCTCGTGGCGAGGATGCTCCTTATCTCCAACCAAGAAAACATGCACTCTGCCATTGAGTTCGATTAAGCTGAAACCAGGAGTCTTGACCAGGCCACTATCTTTCATGAGCTCTCTCATCCTCTCAACATCTTTCCATCTCCCAGCATCTGCATATATATGGGAAAGCAATACATAATATCCGGAATTACTCGGGTCTAGTTCGAACAACCTTTGAGCTGAAATCTCCGCTAGCTCCAAATTCTTGTGGATTCTGCATGCTGCTAGCAGAGAACCCCAGAGGATGAAATCAGACCTCACCTTCATCCTCTTTATCAGATCATATGCCTCGTGAAGATGACCTGCTCGGCCAAGAAGATCAACCATGCAACTATAATGTTCTAACCTGGGTTCCACTTGAAACTGATGGTTCATAACGTTAAACCAATGCCTGCCTTCATCTACCAGACCAGCATGGCTACAAGCAGCCAGTACCGATATGAAAGTTATGTAATTTGGTCTTACACCAACCCCTAACATTTGATAGAAAACATCCAAGGCTTCTCTCGCAAGACCATGCATACCATACCCTGCAATCATAGCTGTCCAAGACCTTACATTTTTCACCTCCATGACATCGAATGACTTCCTAGCCATCTGAACTTGCCCACATTTGCAGTACATGTCTATGACAGAGGTTCCCACGACTACATTGTCCAGCAGACCCATCACTATGACCTGTGATGAAAGATATAAATAAGTTAGCTACTAAATGAGCCAAAGAAGAGACTCTTAATGAACCAATCACCCTAATCAAATAAGGAAGAATATCCAGTACCTGATCATGTACGCACTTGCCTGCTCGCAATGATCCACAATGTGCAGAAGCTAGCAATAATGTGGATAATGTCACTGCATTGTATCGGGTGAGGCCACCTTTTACCATTGCGCTGAAAGCTTCAAAAGCCTCTCTAGCTAAGCCACTTTGAGCATACACGGTGATCATAGAATTCCAAGACACTGTATCTCTATCAGTCATTCCATCAAACACCTTTCTAGACATTCCCACGGAACCTCCCTTGGCATATGCGTCCAGCAAAGTATTACCAACTCCTACATCTCTATCGAACCCACACTTCACAACGAACCCATGTAGGCCTTCGGTCATCCCCTCCGCAGAGAGACGAGAGCAAGCCGTCAAAACCGAAACCATAGCAAACGAGTCGACTGAACTCTCATCGTCGTCATCACCACGGCTCAAGAGCTCCTTAAACAAGGATAAACCTCGGAGCGGATACTCATTCTGAACATACCCATTGATCAACGACGTCCAAACGACGATGTTTCTTTGAGGAATTTCGTCGAACAGGTTTTTAGCATCGCCCAATTGGCCGCATTTGGAGTACATATCGATCAGTGCGGATGACACGAAGAGGTCGAATTCGAAGCCGAACACCAAAGCCTGTTGGTGGGCTTGTTGGCCGGAGCGAACATCAGACAAGGCAGAGCAGGCTTTGATGGCGCAAGGAAAGGTAGAGCGGTTTGGGATAAGATTGAGCTTTCGCATGGAAGAGAAGGCGCGAAGTGACTCGAGGGAGTCGCCGCTGCGAGCAAGGTCAGCGATGAGGGAGTTCCAGGCATGGACATTAGTCTTCTCGAAATACTTGTCGAACCAAGTTCGGAGGTTAGCATTCGACGCCGTCGAATAAAAATGGCCGTGCCGCCGGGGATTTTGAGTAGCTGGCGAAGAAACAAGCGGAATGGGACGTGGAATCTTCCTTTTCATTTTCACATCAATTTTTCTATCGAATTAACTCATATAGGGTAGGGTATATGAGCTGAGTTTCCATATTACAGTTTGCCCCCCAAATTTGAGTAGTAGTTGCACTCACGTCCTATTAGAATTAGAGTATCCATGTACCATGTTTACTCGAAAGTTGTAACTAAATTAGGGGTCATTTTGAACTTCTCATTTTGCAGCCTTCTGAAGAATGTTGAGATGGACTTTTTTCCCCATACCACATGACATGACTCCAAACCCTGAGCTAAAGTTTATTAATTGGAATTTCTGAGAATTGTAAGGGACTTAGTATGTCAAAAGAACATAGAACTGAAAGCTTAATAAGCAAAATCACTTATAAGGTAGGAGAATTGTGAACCACTGACCCACCCTCGCAATAAAATGGATACTGCATCCCTCCCTTGTCAACCACTGACCCACTTAGCTTGTTAGCCCACACTATGTCGCGGGTCGACAATTTGACATTTGCTTTGCAGGTGTTTAATCAGTTTGTTGCTTTTATAGTATGTTCTTGTTTGTTAGGGGTGGTTTGGTTTTGGTGATAATTTGGTTGGGATAGTTACAATACAAACATTGTCCATAATGCATTGTTTTTTTGAATTTTCTGCACAAACAATACGTGCATTATTTGCTTGATTTGACACAATCACTCAAAATAAGTGATAGTTAAATCTCAAATTTTGGTTGAGATTGTTGAGATTGTTTAGTAGAGATTGTTGAGTTTTCTTTTGTTCCAACTATGTCCTTACCTTTTTATATGTGTTGTTTTTAGTATTAAAAACAAAGGGTACAAGTGACATTTCACCCAAAAAGTAATATAATCAATTTCAATATTCCAATAATTATCACATACTCCAAACGATGTAAACTACAATACACCAATTTTCTTATATACATTTATATTATTGTGCATGCATTGATGACAATGTATCAATTTAACTATCACCAAAACCAAACGACCTAGCCTTTGTCTGTTGTTTATCTTTCTAATGAATTATAGATCATCATGTATTCTAATTTTATGCTTCTTCGCTATATTGTGCCAAAAATAGTTGAATAAAGCTAGTGTGAAACAATCTTCTGAATACCAAGTGTTGTATTTAAACGAGAGATGGCTAAGAAAACTAAAAAAATTATTCTCTTACAGCCACTATGACGGGAACTAATAAAGAAACAATTTTAGAAAATAATAAACAAACTGAGAGGCATAAAGAGAAACCGATGATTTAATTTGCAGGCCATAGAATATAACTCGAAGCTATGGAAAGTACAAAATAAAATGGACAATCTGCTAGCTAACTGTCCACGCGACTGCGACGACTATCGGTAATTGTCAATTGGAGTTGGTGTGGTCACGGGCCCACGTTTAGGATTTTAAGGTGTTAAATATCAATTTGGTCACCAAACCTTTTTACATGTACGGTGTACCACATTGGAATGTAGAATTCGATATATGATCATAATGATCTACTTTTTACCTCTAAACAATTTCGTTTCGTGACTTTAATTAACAACAAATATGAAATTTAGATTTATTTTGTGAATTTTAAAGTGAAATGTTAGTGTTATTTGTTGGATTCAAGAATGAACGTTTAATATTTATATTATTTTTTATTCAGTTTCAATGTGTGGTTGTTGACGTTAAATATTGTATTTAAATATTATGATTTTTCATTTGGTTAGAAAATTGTATTTTGTTTCAATATAATGTATATTTTAGGGAGTTTATCTTCACATATGTTATATATGTGCCTCAAATCATTTGATGTTAATGGTTTCCCGTCATTTCTACATATCTTGCTAAAACCAACATGAACTGACAACAGGTTGCACCACGATTGGATCTTACCACTTGCTATTTCACAAGCTTGCATTAAAGTATCAACTTATATTTGCGTAGATTGAGGATGGTCATTCACTCGACTATATATGTCTTAATAATTCACCCGTTCTTTTTGATTTGGCATCTATAGGTAATCATGTGATCTTTGTGAATTGAGACGTTAGTCCCTCCAGGTGAATTTAATGTTTTTTATAAGTTTTTTTCTTGATAATAACTGAATTTAATGTTTTAGTTGCTTAAAACCCGAGTTTAGTGACCTGTGTGACATATATCAATTAGTAAGATGATAAAATTGATATTTAGACTTATTTTCTTTTTCTATTGAGACAGATCTCCGAAGTAATGAGTATATTATAAACTTCAAATTAAAATAAATAAACAGATTATTGATGAAGCATCATAATTTGATTTTAAATGACCTTAATATATAGTGGGTAGTTGACCACCCGGAGTTGGTGACCCAACTCCGCCCTATCTCTCTCAATAATGTCAGCCTTAAGGCCATCACGAAGGCGATCACCAGTAGACTGAAGCCGATCATGAGAAAGCTGATATCCCCTCGCCAAAGCAGTTTCATCCCTGGCAGGCAAACGACGGATAACGTTATTATTGTCCAAGAGGTTCTGCACTCCCTTGGGAAGAGGAAGGGGAAGAAGGGCGGCATCATCCTCAAAATTGATCTCGAGAAAGCCTATGACATGCTGCGATGGGACTTCCTTCGTGACACTCTGAAGGAAGTGGGCCTCCCCAGCTCCTGGATCCAGTGCATCATGTACTGCGTGGAGCAGAATAAAATGCGCGTGCTTTGGAACGATACCCTCTCCACCACCATCACTCCTTCTCGCGGTGTTCGGCAGGGAGATCCTCTTTCCCCTTATCTCTTCGTTTTATGCATGGAACGTTTATCTCACAGAATTGATGAAGCCCTTCATAGTGGTCATTGGAAGCCTATTCGTCTTGCTAGGAACGGACCACCGCTTACTCATCTTTTTTTTTGCAGATGATCTGTTATTGTTTGCGGAAGCGGAGATGAGACAGATTAGAGTCATAAAGCAGTGTCTTGAAGGCTTTTGCTCCAGCTCAGGGCAGCGTATTAATTTTGAGAAATCTTTGATGTTCGTGTCACCTAATGTCGATAGGTGCAGAGCGCGGTCCCTAAGCGAGAGAGCAGGGATTCCTTTGAAGACGGAGCTGGGCCGGTACCTCGGGATTCATGGAATTCAAGGCCGGGTGACTAAAGGGCGGTACCAAGATCTTATCTTGCGGATCCAGAAGAAGTTGGCACCCTGGAAGGCGAGGCGCCTTTCCCTTGCGGCTCGACTGACGGTGTCCAGGTCTATCATTTCCTCTTTACCCACATATCATATGCATACAGAGCTTCTGCCTAAGGGTGTTTGTGCTTCCATTGATCGTATCAATAGGGACTTTGTTTGGGGAGAGGAGGAGGACAAGAAGAAAATGCATTTAGTTTCCTGGGAGAAGATGGTGTTGCCAAAGAGTCAAGGTGGAGCGGGGCTTCGGTCCGTGAGGAATGCGAACCTCGCCATGCTGGCTAAGAGTGGATGGAGGCTTCTTAAGGAGAAAGATATGCTGTGGACCCAAGTCATCAAGGCGAAGTATGGAAATAACAAGGAGAATCTGGAGCTTTTCCATCCATCTCAGGGAAGTTCTTTTACTTGGAGAAGTCTTACTAAAGCTTCCTCCTTGCTAAAAGGAGGTTGTGCGTGGAATATTAGGAACGGGAGAACTACTAAATTTTGGCATGACTCATGGATTTTGCAGGAACCTCTCAAGAACTTTGCTTTGGAAGAGATTCCTAGCTCTCGGATCGATGAGGTTGTGGCGGACCTGACCACGGATGATGGGGTTTGGCGGACTGATCGCTTAGAAGACCTCCTTCCACAGGAGATCCAACAAAAGATCACTGGGGTTGCGGTGGACAGGTTGGCAGATGAGGAGGACACGCTATTCTGGTCTTTGTCTGCAGATGGAAGATTCTCCACGAGATCGGCCTATCAAGCCTTGCTGCCGGCGGACACCAACATAGATACCAAGTATTGGAAGATTATCTGGAGACTTCCGGTTCCTGAGCGGATAAGGTGCTTCATGTGGCTAGCCTGCTTGGGGAAATTGATGACTAACTCCCTCCGTTTCGCCAGGCGCATAGCCGACTCTCCCAATTGTGTTCGGTGTAATGGGCAGGTGGAGTCGGTTCTCCATGTTCTCAGAGATTGTGCTCCAGCAACTTACATTTGGACCAGACATGTTCCCAGCAACAGGCAGAACAGGTTTTTCTCGGTGTCAGCAGCCGATTGGTTTCGTATGAATCTTGATGAAGCAGATAGTGGAGGATCGGATATTGAGTGGCCTACTTTTTTCAGCATAGCCGCATGGCTTATTTGGAAAAATAGGAATGACATGTGCTTCAAGGGAGTGTCTCGAGCTCTTACTCCACCCTCTCTTGCCCACACCATCAAGGTCAAAGCAAGGCTCTGGAACGAAGCTTGGCTCGCTCCTTCTCTGCTGCCGAGTCTGAAAGCGACCCCAGCCGCCAGGATTGTGGCGGACATTGCTTGGGCTCCCCCGGTGGATGGATGGGTGAAGCTAAATACAGATGGTGCTTCAAATGGGAACCCCGGGTTAGCTGGTGCGGGAGGTGTCTTGCGAGGGGGTTCAGGCCAGTGGATCAGAGGTTTCGTGGCTATGATTGGGCAGGCTACTGCGGCTTCGGCAGAGTTATGGGCGATCTTTCACGGACTCGAGGTAGCTTGGAAGTCCGGACATCGACAGCTTGTGGTAGAGTCAGATTCGCAGCTGGCCATCCAGCTAATTAAGGACAGACATGACCCGGTTCATCCGTATGCCACTCTTTTAGCGTCCATTCGTAGGAGTATTAATCGTGATTGGCTGGTGCGCATTGTTCATGTATACCGCGAAGGGAATAGAGTCGCGGACTGGCTCTCGAAGCACAGTCTCGTCTATCCCTACGGTGTGCATGAGCTTGCACACCCGCCATCAGGTGTTGTGACCATTCTTCAGGATGACATGAGGGGAACGTCTTTTGAGCGACGTATTGTACCCCGTCACCTTATCTCCTCTCCTCACTCCCCTCTCATCATGTAACCCTCTCTTTTCTTGGCTTCTGCCTCCCATTAATGCAAAAAAAAATAATCTATCTTATTGGAGTATTAATTTAGTAGGTTAAGTGAATTAATTAGTCACTTTGAACAGGACCCAATCTGGAAAGACGCAAAACAAAATACTCCACTTCCAACACATCAAAATCATTGTTAATTGTTCAAGACTTCAAGATCAAGTCTTTGTTCAAGAATATGATTTGTAAAGGAACATCAAGGGGACACTGCAATAAAAGTAGCTCGTAACTTGATTAGACGCGGCTAAGTAACCTAGAAGGAAGCTAGAACAATGTGAAAAGTCCACACGTGAACCTGACCCCTATAAACATTTATCAAATCTAAGAACGTACACATGTCATCGTCCTATACGCCAACATAGCAACCTTCCCTTGTTCAGCAGGCACACTTGCCTCATTGGCGTTGGTTTACAGTATAAACAAAGACCAGAAGGAGCTGGGATGGACTAGTCATTTTAATTGCTTTAGCATCTCCATCTGCGTTGACCCAAAGCAAACAAAATGATCAATCCTTTCGCTACAGAGCCCCTTAATCATTCATCGTCATCCTCAACCTCTTCACCAGCCCCTGTTTCTCAAGCTCATCAGCAGCCGACGGCGGCAGCAGCATCTCCGGCGGAGCAATGGGGGACTTACGTGATGGGTGCCCCGGCGGCGCCTTCTTCCCACCCGGACAACCAGAAAGCCGCTGCCTTCTGGGGCGCAACCAGCTCTACGGTGGCTAATACTACTCCGCCTGATCCGCAGCAGCAGTACAACAATGCTCATCATCAACAACAGCAACATCCTTACTTGGTCTATTCTCCGGCGGAGAAACCCGCCGGCAGTCCCATGGAATCCATTCTCCATGTCTTCAATTCATGGACCAACAAAGCTGAGACACTGGGCAACAACATCTGGAACAACCGTACGTTTTACCGTCTTTCCTGCCTTATATTGCTTCTTTTCTTTGTTTTATCATTGACCCGACATCTCGGGTTTCTAGATCTAAATATATTGGCTGGATGATTATTAACTTACTCACTCTGTTTTGCTAAACCAGTGAAGACGAATTCCTCTGTCTCGGGAGCAGCTTGGGGCAAAATGAATCTGACGGCGAAGGCTATCTCCGAAGGCGGATTCGAATCCCTGTACAAGCAGACTTTCACCACTTACCCCAACGAGAAGCTGAAGAAGCGATTCACCTGCTACCTCTCCACCGCCACCGGCCCTGTTGCGGGAACTCTGTACCTCTCTAACATCCACGCCGCCTTCTGCAGCGACAGGCCTCTGTCCGTTGCCGCGCCATCCGGTCAGGAGACATGGAGCTACTACAAGGTTGCAGTGCCGCTGAACAAGATCGTCGGAGTGAATCCTGTGGTGATGAGGGAGAAGAATCCGCCGCCGGAGAAGTATATTCAAGTCGTGACGGTGGACGGACACGACTTCTGGTTCATGGGTTTCGTGAATTTCGACAAGGCGGTGAAGCATTTGAGTCAAGGGATCTTCAGCATGGTAACCCCAGCTGTGGCCGTCTAGCTCAAGCATATCGGTTGCACTCTTAGCAATAACATCATGTACTTGTTCTTGCTGTCAACTCAGAATTATGTCAAATACTCTATTGCCCAACTTATACTTGATTCAAGTAGCAAATTTCGAACGACATTACCTAGCATTAGCATAGAAATTGAACCACACTTCAACTTGTATGACCTGTGAGTTGAGTTTATGAATTATGACCCATAACCTTAACCCTGTTTGGTGTGAGTTGGCCAATCTGTTCATGACGCACAACTCATTAGAGAAGCCACTACTAAAATGACCAAACTCGTCAGTCGTCAGGACTCGGCCTTTTCTCACACAATGTACGTTAGAAGTCTTCAAGGTAAGAAAACACTACAATACATAATTACAACGCCACCACATCGGCAAAGCCTACAAGAAAAGGCTAGAGCCAACTTCTGTCTTGCTATCAAAGGAAAGGACCGCTGCACCATACACTACACACAGGGAGGCGAGAAATTTTGTATCATTCACCATATTCAGTTTCTATCACGAGCATGCTAACCTCTCTTTCCTTGCAATTTTCAAGAAACATAGATTTGAGGAGAGTCGAAATTTAGGAAGAAAGTGCGGATTTCCATGGGGGCAAGTTCCACCACAAGGTTGTCAGGATCAACTGCTCCTCCCCTCACCACTTTGGATTCTTCTTCCTTTGCAGCTACTTTCCAGACTAGCCTTCTCTTCTCCAACTCGCTCCTCTTTTGATTGGCCGACAGACTCAGCTCTGTCACCTTACCAATCTGAATAAAAAGATTAGAAAGAAAAGAATCCACATTGACAACATCAGTGACTTGTTTCACGAGCAATCACACAAAGAGTCCTCCTTGAGCTTTGCTCTACTGATAATGCATCTCTCACCTTTTTATTCGGGAAAAGCATTTTCAGTTCCACCCTTGCCATTCCAGAGTAGTCCTTGTCTTCTCCAATCTGAAATCCAAGAACAAGTAATTACAATTCATTCATTCAGATAGTTTAAAGAGAACAAGCATAACAGTTTATAAATGTTGAGTTCAGAGGATCAACCAAAATCACATTAGAAAGGGTGCAGACCTCATATAAGTGAGCCAAACGGAGGAGAACTTCCCCAACTTTGAGTTCCTACAATGTTTATAAGAGAGAGCTTCACTCATTTCCCCATACTGTTAAAACAAAGTGAAGAAAATGGAGGGGCAAGGAGAATAATATTACTACTTTACCTGTAGGGTTATCACAGCAACATTATTGGGCAAAGAATAGGATGGATCAACTCCTGAAAATGAATTTACATGGGACTCCATCCATTTGCTTGCATCCTGATTTTTTTTAGAAATAAGTAACACATCACATTTGAGCATTATGGTACATTCTAATTTGGCATATTCAAATATAAATTTTCTGGCCCACCTGCTTTGTGAATGCTACTAAAACTGGAGAATATATTTCTTGGCCAACAGTGCGGCGCCACTTGGCACCTTCACCCAACTGATCAACTCTGAGGAACATCTTACCTACGATCTGCAACAATATGTAAACGAAGCCATTCAATAACTTTGGACTTATAATATTGACAACACATTATTTGGTAAACAAATGCAAGCTTACAGTTAAACCTTCACATTCATCGAGGACACAAACAATCTCATTTAACACCTCCCCAACGCCTCTCATATCATCATGAAGCATTCTCCTAGAAACAGCATCTGTTGTTAGATATCGATATCATCATATACTATATATCTATAGATATATAGATGAGTGAGAGAGCCAAAAATGCCATCAGCATTTATTTATTCTCAACTGAACCACTATGGAAATAAATAGGTGAAGATAAAGATGTTGGAAAGGGAAAATAGAACGAACCTATGTAGCATTAGTTCTATTTGACCATCCACAAGACTAGAGCCTCCAACTGACCGATCCACCAATACTGACAGCTCTGTAGTATCATCTTCTACATATATTCCAAGGTTAACCTGCAAAATTCAAGAACAAAAAGATATTGAACAATAGTACGTAATTCCTTCTTCTAACAATTCTCGACTTCTAGACTAATTGTTCACCATCACCAGTATGATGTAGCTTCCAGCCTAAGTTATACGAAGTATAATCCATCTAGGCCTATCATGCATGACTGTCTAAGTGCCCTAAAATGGAATAAATACATATATGAAATAGCATGATTTTATTCCGGTTAATAATATCCTTTAAAAAAAATCCGGTTAATACAACATACAGGATAATAATTTCCGGCAACAGGTTGATTCACTTCGAGGTCCCAGTCTGTCCTCTGATCTCGGACCTGCAAATTATATGGAATATAGTCTAAGCCTACAAAAAGTTTCTATAGCTTGCATGGAAGCAATCATAATACACTGAAGAAAAGGGCATAAATAGGGGGGGGGGGGGGGGGGGGGGGTTAACCAAGATAAGCCCCCATGGCATAAATATGGTTGACGAAACATAAAATGGACAACAGAAGCAAGTCCTACAAACCCTTTTAATGAAGTCGCGTCCGTTTGAGTCTGTGTAAAATGTCTTGTTGGTTTTCATGGTGGTTTTGATTTGAGTTGTTATTTCTTTCCCAGTCCCATCATCCAAAGGTATAGGCCCAATCTGAGGTTAAATGGAAAACAAATACATCAAATATAACCCATCAACCATAGAATAAAAGTTTCCTCGTACTTAGAGAACCAACTTACAACAAATTCAATTTCAGCGTGCTCCTTCCCTTTGTACACCCTAGTGACCTGTGCATGCATGACTTTTTAATGAGTTGCAATGCGTGTTGTCAAGATGGTTATCAAAGAATCAGGAAGTAATATGCAAAAGCTTGTTTCACAAAAATCTTTCCGATAAAAGGGATGAGGTCTCCTTAGAAACAATGAATTGCATATATCTTAACAACCTGAGATATCCAAGGATTCAGCTGCTGATGTACTTCATCCAGCAACGGGCCCCTCAAAAATGTTGAAGGAACCTTGAAAAGGAAAATTTTATTTCAGTTCAGATATTTGATTTGGTGTACCACATAGTTCTCTAAAACCGGTCCATTCTGAGAGGGGGAAAATGACACCTGACCCAAATTCTTTACTGTGAATGTCCCATTTGGCCGGAAAACATATGCCCCAGAAGCCTGTAAAAAGCAAGGGGAAGGACCGAGATTGCTTATTAAGAATTTCACAGAATAGTGACTAGAGCAAGGTACACATAAAGATAAATGAAGGTTCTGGAATTTGGAGTTTTAGTACCTGTGGATCTTTATTAGTACCATCATTTCCAGTGTAATAGCCGTACGATTGTTCAACAGAGGTAGCAACCTTCAGAAACAAAGGACGTATCAATGAGATATTAACAGAGTTGCATGGGATTTTCTGAAATTTCACTTACCCTCTAAGATTGAAAAAACACCCTAAAACTATGGGAGGAACACAAGACAGAAGCTGGACTAAGTAAAGTACTGCAGAGCTACAAGTTTAAGGAAGCAATGTACCAGACTTCTCCCATTGATAAAATGAGTAAGCTCCCCACTGTCTACAGAGAAACGTAACTTCAAATTTCCTGGGCCAACTTCAACAGTTCTAGCTTTCGTGTTCTCTGCAGTGTGCACCAGTGAGAGGATTGAACTAGAGCCTTCAACAGAATTAGATTACAAACCGGAGGACTATGTCAGTCGCAAGGAACAATATTTCTCCATCACTGACTTCAGTGGAACACCTTCGGAGTATTCTAACCTGTCTGATTAGCTACTGAGACAAAGTAAGTGTTGAAACCAAGGGGTGGCAGAGATGCTGAAAATGCAAGCCAATATTTTGGCATTTCACTTGGGAAATGGCCCGTATATGCTTTGGCATATATAGTCCTTACTCTCGAAGTTGCATTCAAGAGTGGGACTAGCTGAGATTCAATTTGTATCCCATTAGAATCGCGAACTTCTACATTCTCAGAAGAAACCTGTGCCACATTTTTTATACACCAGGTCAGCCATTAATGAACCTGTGGGCCTTTCCAATTACACAAAACAACTTTCACATTAGTTATACGCTAGCGTGGGGTTGGCACGAGAAATATATTTATGCTCGAGTGACGATAGATGATAATATATAACTCGTCCTTGGTTCGAAGTTTGGTGCCACCATTGAGAAATTGGTACAAGAAGCTGTGGATACACTTCTTGATAATGGAATTCCCGGACAACCAATGAGGGACGGTCATAGTTTAATGAAATACTAACCGGAATCCGAATCACTTCCTCCCTTTTCCATCCTAGAGGATTATAAGCCACAACAACCTAAAAGATTTAAGGATATAATTATAAGATGAAAAAAACACTATCTTTCTTCTTGCAGATCATAAAGTATTTACACAAGGGAATTAGGATCTTACCAAGCTCTGCTCATCAGACGATATGGATTCTGTAGGAGGACAATAGCTTATGTTAAGTAAAGGACACTGCAAAGAAAAACGACAGAGAGTAATTCAGCAATGCATATCAAAGACATACTTTTATCCAACTGACCATGTTTGTTCAACTTCACAACAGCTAAAGAATAGAAGAATTGACAATAATACGCATAGTGCTTATGGTAGTAGACGTGTCATTTTGGTCACGCACTCTTTAACTAAGTTTACATATAATGATGAAATGAAGTCTCTTTAGGCAATTAGGAAACAAGGATACATGGAAAATGTATGTATGTATATCTGTCGTCCCAGTAAAACGTAAGAACACATGTTGAAGTAAATATATAGGTGGTTAACAATGCCTGCTCAAGTTCCGTGGAAATGCTCCCCTGTCTTGTACTTGATCTTGACTCTGTCAGGAAACCAAGAGAAGAGGCAACTAACTTCTCAGCCTGCAAAGAATCCCGGGAAAAAAAAAAGGAATGACATCCTATTGAAGGTTGAAATAATGTGCCAAGAGATAATATATAAAACAATGTGCACCTCCTTGTAACCAATTGAAATTCGCAAAGCATAATCAGCAGCAACATGCTGCCTCTGTGTTCCACTAACAGCATCATGATGTTGTGCAATTGCCAAGGCATCTGCAAGCACCCCAAGTTTGGATGCCACACCACTCCTGCCTCTAAAGAACTCCAGCTGCCTAGCAGCCTATTTGAGAACAAAACAGAGCAATAACTCTAAGAAACTAAGCAGCATTCATGAATGGTTTTACAAAAATGCTAGATGAAGAAAGATAAAAGGCTCCAGATCTCACAAGGTAATAACCACTCATTGTTCTGACAAAGCCTTTAAATGCTGGCCTACTCGTGAAATAACCTGTCCAGTAGGCATTTTGGTGATCTGCATACCTGTAATGTCATCTTACTAATTTAGTTTATCAATTAACTCAAATAAGAAGAACAAGAACCAAAATATCAAACTCACGGAAAAAAATCTCCAGTTTTTAAAGGCCATTCTTCATTTGCCGCATGTTTGGCATCAGTATACATCGATGGAGTTGAGTACAGAACATTTACACGGCCATCCTAAGATATCCATATAAAAGCCCTTATTATAGGATTCAAACTACATAGTAGAGCTGTAAAATAGATGACAGGTGTTTATCATCTTTCTAAATGTAACACCGTGCAAGGAACAAAACCTGGTTCACATAATGGATGAACTTGTCCATCTGTCGATACCACGAATTTGCATACTGATAACGAAAATCAGTTCCCATTAACCACATTATATGATTCGTTCGTGTTACATTGGCCTGAAAATTCAAAATAACCTGCTTATAAGTTGAGGTAGTTGGTTGGAATAGACAAAGAACACCCATCAACAAGCTTTTGATGAAGCAAAGGAACACTACCTATTATTTGATTGGAACAGCATTGCAATAATACAAAGCTACATTAAGAGTTAGCTAATGAAAAATCCTGGTGATTGTATAAAACAGCTTACTATCTACCCTTTTTTTCTATGAATCTTACTATCTACCTTATACCACCTGATGCATCAGATAGGGTCCAGAAAGAAATATAATTGACATTCAAAGTGACTACAAAACAACCAAGATCTCACCTGAGCCAGTGCAGCAGCCACAAAGTCACTTACTCGCTCTTGGACATTATAGTCGAATAGTAGCACATCGTCCTTCAATTTATAAAACGATATGTAAAACACAAGTCAACAGAAGAATCAGAAAAATCAACTCATTCATACAAATTGTACCTGAATAGGAGGCGATACGTCATTAATTTCAAATGTGAATCCATCAGGCGGATCATAGTGTCGAGGAAATATACCAGTGAATATCTGTAGAAAAAATTAACGACACAACAAGAACGTAATGCCAGGACATCATCACACAATATTTATAACTCCTGACCTAATATAACCATTTCGTGATTACTAAAGCAAAGAAACTATAAGTAAATGTGCAACAAGGGAAGAAGGTGATTATGCATTCACCTGTGAAGTTGAGCCAAGGGACTGAGAACCCCGCCATACAACCTCAAGAGTCTTATCCTGTAATCGCTTGGCTCTGTCTTGGTAATCAATTCTAGCAAAGAATAGAGAGTCGAATCCAAACTGAAAATTGGAAACATCAGATCATGCATTATCCCATTGATGTAGTCTATGACTTGCTCGTGATCAATTACCTAGGAGGAAAAATACAGGAAGAAATCTAAGATGCTGTACCTCAGCACCAAGCAAATAAGCTTGGACAGCAGAATGTCCAAATGGGTCAATCTGCCAACCAACTCTGGGAATCTGACCAAATTCATCTTTGATAAACTTATGACCCAGAGTCGTCTGATCGATAAGGTCAATGTAGTGTGGAGTAGCCTCATCATGCATACACATACCTCCATTTCTACCATCAAGAAAGGCTTAAACTCAATACTAGAGGTCAATGCTTAGCTGGAATGCAGGATTCGGTAGCATGCACGCAAAAGAAAATCACAAAAAGGGAAATGAAATTAGAAGTGGTGGTACTGACATGAATTCAAGTTGACCAGAGTTGACAAGCCCTTTGACCCTTTCCTTCATTCCACTGCTTTGCTGCCGCCACCATCTCTGAAAGAACGCCTGAAAACCAAAGCAACCGAGGAACCCTCTTCAAATGAAACCAGAAAGAGATACTGCAGAAAGCAAGAGAGATAAAGTAGTAATAACCCACCATCTCCACATAGATGAACTTGCGATTCTTGTCCTCGAACAAAGAGGACATAACAGAGTCCAATACATTCTGAACGCAAGCACCCTACTGACCAAATCGTTCAATCGAATCAATCAATCAATCAAGTCACATTCAACAATAACCCAACGCTAAAGAGAGAAGGGGGTTAATTAGAGAAAGACCCGGATAGAATTATTGCCGCCGAAGTAGTATTGGTCAACAGTCTTCAACCAACCAACATCGTCGTGGGAGTGAGGGACGAAATGGACGTTGATTTTGCCGGATACGACGGAAGCAGAAGTGTTATATGGGATGAAGGTGGAGTAGATGGCTGAGGGCGATGAACAGAATGTGCAGAAGAGGAGGAACAACAAGGGAAACGCCATGGATTTTGACCTGAGACAACGATCAAAATTTTTTGCTGGGTTTTCTTTCTTGTGCAACGATAGAGTGTGTGCAGTCGCTGTTAACAGCAGCCGAGAATGGATATAGTTGAGTACGGCTTGGCGTGCACATTTGCCCCGTCCCTGTCCCTGTCGTCTTCTTCTTCACGCTTGAATTGATTTTGTACGTCTTTCATCCTAGATCATGGCTTTCCCACTCTCTCCAATGGCGCGTACATTTACCATAGTGAGCTGGAATTGGGAGGGAAAATTAAGCGAAATTTTCGGAGTTGCGCGCTCCTCACTCGCGCCCTCCGGCCTTCCAAATCTCCATTTGACATTTGTCCATTTCGAATTTTGGAATTTGGATGCTGCCTGAAATATACGACGGAGGAAAACACATTCGCCACGTCCTCCACGAGACCCACGCGACGCGACACGACCCCAAAATTTTTAATTTTCTCCTCCGCCTCCGGCTCACGCGCCACCACCCTCCCCCAGTTCCCCTCTTTCTCTTTCCCCCGCTTTCTCTTCCATTTCCTCCTCCCAATTCCCCAAATCGACGCTCAAATTCTTCCCACTTATTCAAAGTTTCCAACCCTAGTCCTCGCCTCACACTCTCTCTCGCCCATTCCTTTCCCCTCCACCGCAAGAGAGAAAGAGAGAGCGCTAGGTGCTTCATCAAAGCTCGACTAATGGTCGTTCCCTCCCTAAACTGCGTCACCGACGGCGCTCCCCCTTCCTCCGGCGACTTCACTCCCCTGAAATCAACCCCGCCTCCACCCCACACAGACCAACTCCCTCGCAGCCGACGAGCTAGCGCCCGGATTCAGGAAACCAAGCAGCGCCAGGAGGCCAAACAGCGTCTGGAGAAGGAGAGGCTCATCCGGAAGCGGGTTCAGCTCCTGGATGAGCCGGAGGAGCAGCAATCCAGTGCCAAGAAACCGCGGGTCTACTCTCGTCGGCGGGATGGAGAGGGTAGTGACGGGGTTGAGGCAAAACCCAAGGCCGAGCAGCAGCAGTTGCCGGAGCGGGAGCGGGAGAAAAAGGACGAGGTGGAAAGGGCGATGGATAATGCAGCCCGCCAAATCGCGCTAGAGATGCCGACGAGTGACGTTCTGCCTGCCAGTGGTTTAGCCTCTGGGAAGAGTGCTTATGCTCAAGTGAAGGACACTCTGAGAACGTTCAACAAGTACTACCTATCCTTCGTCCAGGTTTGTTGCTCTGTTCCATAACAATGTACTTTTGCATGTTTCTCGGAAGACCTACGTTTACATCGTACGTCTCCATAGCTGCAATGCTACGCCATTTCGACCCCTTCCGATCATGGATTCTGGGCTTACGGCTAGATTGTTCTTTGTGGGTTTGTGTTGGGCTGTTGCCCTTAGTGGCTCTCTGCTTCTATTTTGCTCCGTTCCCCTTCTGGGTCTGTGGCTGCATTTTGTCACTTCACTTCTTTGAAGATGAAATGTCTGTTTGCATTTGGTTATGTTCGTTGAAGTTCACATTGTTTCCTTGTTTCTTCTGTCTGATAGGAAGAGGAGAGTAGGTGTAAGAAGAGGGATACGGCCAAGAAATCCCCTAATTCCAAGTCCCCTTCCAAATCAAAAGGACCGAAATTAAAGGTGAACATAAATCCCTCTATTATGCCTCTATAATTGTATGTTTGATGCCTGCTGTTCTAATGTTTTGCATTTTTTCATGTGTTATGGTTACTTCAGAAACCTGGGCGGGGTGTGAAAGCGACTAAACCTGACACTAAGTCAACGTCCAAGCGTCCTGACCTGAAGGCTGTAACTAAAGTAAGTGCAAATTCTCCCCAACCTGGGCTTGAAAATATTCATGCTTGATCTTGAACAAATGTATCTTGGTTTTTTCATCATCTTCTCTTTTGGCTTGAATATCTTTTGCAGATGTTGGAGACTAATGCTGTAATGTATCCCAAGAAAAGAATTGGCGACCTTCCAGGTTTGGAACTCTTACTACCATGTGGCTTGATTGAATTTCGAAACTTACACTGTTGGGTTCCGTGTCAAGCTTATTTCACAACTCTTTAAAAGATTCTACTGTTCTGATTGAGTGATTCCTTTCTGTGATGAGTTTGATTAAATTTATAAACTAAAACACGGTTGTGTTTTGTGTCAAGTGTATTTAACGACTCTTTATAAGCATTTGTACTGTTCTGCTTCAGTGCTTCCTTTCTGTAACAAGTTTGATTAAATGTGCCAATGGCAGGAATTGATGTTGGTCATCAATTTTATTCAAGAGCTGAGATGGTTGCAATTGGTTTTCATGGACACTGGTTGAATGGAATTGATTATATGGGTATGGGCTACCAAAAGGTGATGATTCGATCTCTTTTTGTTGTATCCTCTTCAAACATTTCATTTACTCCGTCGTGCCTGTTGTCTATGTCAATTGAATTGGGAGGAGCTTCACTGTTACATGCACCTTACAGCCGTTCTTCTACTACCTGTTACAGGAGTACAAGAACTACACGTTCCCACTTGCAGTGGCTATTGTCTTGTCAGGAATGTATGAGGATGATCTAGATAATGCTGATGAGGTTACGTACACTGGTCAAGGTGGGCATAACCTAACTGGTGATAAACGACAGATTAAGGATCAAGTTATGGAGCGTGGAAATTTGGCATTAAAGGTATGGGTTGCATTGGCTAGAAGTTTCTTGTACGTTCATGATTATTATTTTATAGCTACCTTGCCACTTACATTTGATTGAGAATATAAACCGAGGGTGAGCTTTCTGTTTGCAGCTAGAAGTGGTAAACCAACTTCTGTTTTAACCACCTTATCGCAGCCACCAGTTCATTAGACGGATACTTCTGATTCGCAGAATTCTGCTGATGTTTTGGAAAAAAGAGCTCCTTTTGTGAGAAACAGAAATATGTTAGGAGCATATCCTCGAACCAATTCTTGTTGGGGAATGTAACTTGTAATGAAAGAAGCTATATTTGGCATAGTTGCAAATATTAATTCAGGGGTGATATTGTAGTGAAGCCTTGAAGGATCTATGCCAATTGGACTTCTTACCTCATTATTTCTATAGTAGGAATTCCTCGCCAGACATTCTGCTGTCTAAAGTTACTTGACTTTGTTTATTTCTATTTTCTTTGCAGAACTGTGTTGACCAATCTATTCCTGTACGAGTGATCCGTGGTCATGTGTGCAAGAGCAGCTATGTCGGGAAGATGTATACATATGATGGCTTGTATAGGGTAAGGCTCTGATCCGCATGCACATACTTCTCTTGATCTTGCATGTCAGCGAGCTTGATTTGCTATCATTACAGTTTCATGTGGAAATTCCTTTTCAACTACCCTAACATGTTGGTTGGCTTAGATGGAACTGCTATTTTATGAGAAGACATAGTCGTACACCGTAATCACCTGGCAACAATTCTGTTATGCGGTCTGGTAGCCTTGTTGCTTTTTAACTTTTATATTTTTGGTTCTACTTGTGGTGTTAAGGACGGTTCAAGCAATGTTAATCTAGCCAATGATGGTAGGACTACCTTCAATAGAGGAAGCTGGTTCTCTTTATTTCTCTCTTATGTCTTAAATAGAAAATCTTTGGTGGTGTCAACTACGAGGAGGATTTTTCTTGACAATGCTTCGAATATTTTTTATTTTATAAGGGTGATGTATGTTTGGTTTTTAATTGAGTGCTAATTACGGGATTTGAACCTGAGACCTTCAGATTCAAGACCAGTGGTATTCCCATTGGACCAAGCCCTTGTTCACTGTGGTACAACACTCTGAATTGTTAGGACCCATGTAGGTTACCCACCCCAGGACAGCGTTTTGTTTTCTGTGAGTGGCTATTTAATAGTCTATAGAGGATGCATTGATAATTAAGACGGGTCGATTTAACTTGGTAGATTGACGGGACTGCAGTTTTTTTTTTTTTTTTTTTTGCTGTGATCTTTGACTTTGATTCTTTGGCACTTCAGAAAGATTGTTCAGATAAAGAGTACTGTGAAGTCGTTGTAATTAACTCTAAACAACTGAAGTTGTGCAATTGGGTTTCATTTTGGTCAGTCATGTAGTAAAATTACTGTTCTCCACCTTTTCCTGAAGATGTCTTGAAATAAATATATTGTTATGCTGGCCTAATCTTTTTCATCAGGATTTGAAGCTTGCCTTACTTGGAAGTAATTCTGCTTGCATTACACCCATAGTTCCTTTCTATGATCCTTTCTGGGTTATTGGCTGAACATGGTCCCAATGTATATTGTCATGTCTTCATAGCGTTTCTCTGTTATCTGTGTCATTTGCTGTTTGGTTTTCACCACTCATAATGAGTTGACTGCCATCCAGGTTTCTCGTTACTGGGCTGAGAAGGGTATATCTGGATTTACAGTGTTCAAGTATGCCCTTAGGAGGCTCGAAGAGCAGCCAATATTGACCACTAATCAGGTTCTTTACTTGGCTTATCTTCTACTTGTCCGTTCTGTCTGTCATTGTTTATCTCTATAGTTCTCTGATATTGCTAATGTTGGTCATATGCATCCCTTCAAGCTATGTTTTTTCTGTAACTTTTCAAGATATCTTTTACATCTTCTAAAAACGAGAAATCCTGACAGATCCAACTGATGCGGTGACGTGTCTGTTTGGAATCAGTATGTCTAGCTGAGATTTCCTTTTGCTTGTGAAATTTTTTATTTTTAAGAAAAGAATCGGTTTCCCGTTTCCATAACAGATCTCGTTTATTATGTGAGTGATTCTATAAAGTATAAACTGGTAACAAAACCTGTGGAACATACTTGTGAAGTGTGCAAATCCTACAGTCAATAACTTTTACAAGCTGTTGGACCAAGAAACCCAACTTGTAATCAAAACGCCTAAGATACACATCAAAAGAAGCAAGGGAGAACCACATACCAAAGAGATCTTTGAAGCTGGCATGATTGCTAATGCTAATCATTATTCTTTCATGTAGCATTTGTGACCTCTGAGGACTTCGAATGCTTTTGACTCCAGCTATAATATGTTAGCTTCCTTTACATCTGTACTAGAAAAATGCTAGCTTTCTTTTCCAAGGGCTGCTTCTTGTTTCAGTCGCGATGATATTGATGTCATGTTATTTCATGGCTTTGATCTAGTATCTTTCATCACCTTTCCTGACTGGACTTTTCCTAGTTAGTTCACATTTTTATATTTACTAATTTGTTCATGTTTCTGCTGTCTGGCTTGATCCTCATACCTATCAGGATACATATATTATTTAGTTGTCCCTAACATCTTCTCTTGTAACATAGGTACATTTCACAAATGGGCGCGTTCCCCAAGCTATTTCTGAAATACGAGGGTATGCTACAATTGTTGTTGAACAGCTGATGTTTTTTAGTTTTTACTAATTATTTGGTGTTGTCTGTCCAAGAATTCACCCTTCATGCTAATTCACACAGGTTGGTGTGCGATGATATTACTGGGGGACTTGAGGATATCCCAATTCCAGCCACAAATCAAGTTGATAATCCACCTGTTCCCCCAACAGGCAAGTTGAAACTTTGTATATTGTGGTCAAGTGCCTACCTATTCCTACTCTTACAATGTTAATCCATTTTTATATCCATATGTTCCCTTGTATAAATGAATGGAGAAGCTGGCAACTTTGTGTTCTCTAATTGTCCTTCTCCTTTTATTATTGGTAAAAGTTCAGGCTTCACTTATTTGAAGTCTATTCAAGTTGCCAAGAATGTGAAGCTTCCCAAAAACACAGCTGGATGTGATTGCAGAGGGAACTGTGTGGACCCAAGGAAATGTGCTTGTGCAAAGCTCAACGGCTCTGATTTCCCTTATGTGCATCGCGATGGCGGGAGGTTAGCTTGTTTGACATAACTGACCTCTTATTTCGTGCTTCGTTTCTGGTTGATTTGTGACTCCCATCTTTTTTTTTTTTTTTTTTGGCTAAATCTTTCTTTTACCTCAGGCTAATTGAGGCCAAAGATGTTGTTTTTGAATGTGGTCCATCTTGTGGCTGTGGACCAAGCTGTGTTAACCGCACATCTCAGAGGGGAATGAAACATCGTCTTGAGGTTTGATTTTTCCACCTAAAATGTATTATCTTGATATTTGATCTGCCTTTTTTTTTTCTTTGCGTTGCCATGTCTGGTATTAATAGTCGACCTATCATCTTAACAGGTTTTCCGTACACCAAAGAAGGGTTGGGCTGTGAGATCATGGGATTTCATTTTTTCTGGATCACCAGTTTGTGAGTATGTTGGGGTGCTCAAGAAAACAGAAGATGTTGATACTCTCACTGGAAATGAGTATATTTTCGACATTGACTGCTTGCAGACCATGAGAGGCTTGGAAGGCAGAGAGGTACTTAAATTCAACTTCTTGCCTAGGTTGTCTTCACCCGAAATGCTGAATTTAAATCTTCACTCATCTGTTTGTGCTATTCGGCCAGTGTTTGAATTTCTTGCACTGTTTCTTACTCTCCATATTTATTTATTGTGTGTGCAAAATGATCTCATGTTAGATGTTGAGACTTTCATCTTGCTATTGCTTGTTCGGAAATGGATGCCTTCAACTTTGTGACATACCTGCATCATCTGTTAAGCTTAGTTGCTGATTTTTATTTTTATTTTTTATCAGTAACAGCTTGTGATTGTTAGGCATAATTTGTTCGTAGTTGATAATTATCTTCTAGTAATTTTAGAATATTATATCTCTTGTATTAGAGTTGGAGAGCTAATCTCTATCGATCCACTCTGTAAACCCTATATGGTTTCAATGCTGAACATTTATCTTATTCCTTACACTTCACACGGTGTTAGAGCGGAAGGCTCTGGTGCCACTGTTACCTTGTATCAGTAGTGATACCACAAACAGTATATATGGAGTACACAATTGAAGATAAACTCTAATGCTAATAATTTAATGATAATAACCAAAGACAATAATTGATCATTATCAACAACTGCCAATAGTTATGGATGCCTTGGTTTAAATGTAATGACTTCTCTTCTGGCTATTTAAATGTCCATATGCACGTTATTCATGTTCTTTGTCTCTGTTTTTTGCCAAACAGAGACGTCTGAGAGATGTTTCGCTCCCAAATGGTGAAACCATTCCATTTGAGGAGTCGAAGCCAGACAGTGTCCCCGAGTTCTGCATTGATGCTTGTCGCAGTGGAAATGTGGCCAGGTTCATCAACCACAGCTGCACTCCAAATCTGTTTGTCCAGTGTGTGCTGAGCTCACACCAAGATATCAGGCTTGCCCGTGTAGTTTTGTTCGCAGCGGACAACATCCCTCCACTGCAGGTTACATGCTCTTCTTCCCCTGGCTGCTTTTCTGTATTTTACTGTTTGATTTTTTCTCTCTCGCACGTTCTCTGTGAACTGATTTGTTCTGATGCTTGTGCTTTGTTTTGTGTCGGTGTAGGAGCTAACATATGACTATGGCTATGTCCTGGATAGTGTGATGGGTCCTGATGGCAAGATTAAGCGGGTTCAGTGTTATTGCGGCGGAGCAGATTGTAGAAAGCGCTTATACTAGCAGCGTAATTAGTAGCTTTGCTTATGTACCTGGTAGTGAGCGTAGGTTCAATTGTAAATTTGAGACAAAGATAGTAGCTATTGTTATCTAACTCCACCTCAGGTTGGCGGCCTGTACATGAGGGACTGGGAAGATATTACCAGAATTGTTGGTAGGGTGGGCACTGCTAGTGAAAAGTTGGGAGAGGCGAGCTCTTGTTATGATCACATACACAATGATTGCAAACGTCAAACTTGTAAATCGATACTCTGACATTTTGTCTAATCCCTGAAAGGAGGGAATATTTCAGCCGACCTATTCTTTCGAAGCCTTGGTGTCATTGTTCCTCCTGAAGAGAAATGTTTCTATGTTTGTTTTGATAATGATATGTTAAATGAGTTAAGTTTTAACACATTTCGTATGAACAATCGATACAGTATCTGTAATAAAAGAGATTGTAGGGCATGTGATATTTTACTACAATACGTTTCACAAACTCTTCTTTCCATTGTTATCGTTTGAAGCAGGCAAGTAAAAAGAAAGTGCAACACTGGCAAGAAAAATACAACATATCATGGAACGGAGTTCAAAACACTTGGCATTACACAACAACCATATGTCTACAGTAGGTCGCTGGTGGTATTCTCAAGACAACTCATCTACTTCCAACTTACCCTTCATTCTATACCTACGACCTGGCCTACCTGACCCTGAACCACCATTTCGCTGTTGAGCTCCCACTTCTGCTTCGTCCTCATCCATAGCACAGCTTTCTTCACCACCTTCCAGATCATCAGCTGCTGCTATCACAACATTTACACCCTTCTTCCCGCCGCCACCTTCCTCTTGCTTGCTCTTCCAATCATCCGCATTGTTCTCCTTCTTCCTGGGCACAAAGGGAACTGACTTGGGAGGATCGCCACGAATGGATTCATCTACTTCTGGTCCAGGTTCCGACTTCTTTATTAGCTTCAGAAAATCCATGTACGCTAGTCTGTTGGTTCCTTCATCAACATCAGACGATTCAAAGGTGTACTTGGTGTATTTCGTAGGGTTTATCATGTAGTCCGGGATTCCAGAAGGATAATTTTGTGGCATTCGGTAGACCAGGGGATCTTCCAAATCGGCTTCCATGGCTGTATCCTCAGTTTCCTTGTCGCCAGTATTGCATTCAGGGTCGAATCTAACACGTTTCTGTAAAAACTTGGAATCATCAACAGCCTGATCATCCTTCCTCTTTAGAATGGATTTGAGGTTGCAGTCCTGGAGGTAAGTGTTGTTGGGTTGTTGGGATTCATTGTCTGAAACGGTCAAAGAGTCGATCTTTCGAGCTGCTGATTCGTCATCCTCCTTCAACCTGAGTTTAGCAGCGTTGTGATTGGCCCGGCGGTCTCTAGCTAAGGCATCTTCCAATGAACTAGAAGGGCCCGTATCAATTTCATATTCATTCTTGCTCAAATCCTTCAGATACACGCGATCTTCAGACTTTTCCCTGCCCACGGCCACCTTGTCGTATTGGTCTTCCTCTTCCTAAACAGCATCATACGAAAAAGAACCAAAACCGAATTCAGCCACAGATAAGTGAAATCGGATGAATAAATTAGGGTATCCAATCGTTATCTTCAACAAGGAAATGTGAATGAGAGAAATTTTAATTGCGTACCTCAAAATCGAGAGTGCAGTCACGGCCAATGGAGTTCTTAATTTCCCATTCTTCTTCGTTGTAATCGTCGGGCCTTTGCTCAAAGGACTTCTTCTCATCGTCATCATCATCCTGAACCTGGTCATCTAGGTCATCCAGGTCTGTTTCAATCTGACGCCGGAAGCTTGTCTCCGAGCGGGATAGACCTGCTTTGGATTGATTCGGGGCAAGGAATCCTCTCGATAACGAGAGCGACTCTGTATCATCGTCTTCCTCATCATCGCCGTTGCTCTCGTCCTTCCTCCATCTGCTCCGCTCGATTTCCTCGTCAGTGAGGGACCAGAGAGAGCGGAGGGAGGCTGAAGTAGGCGCCGGTAGGTTATCGGCGGAGTTGGAGGAGGTGAGTGAGCCGAAGACTTTGTCGACTCGAACTCGAAAGCTATCTTCCATGTTGAGTTCGATGGTGGCGGTCGGAAAGCGAGCTATGGCTGCGAAAATGGCTATTGCGCGATGTGCTTGCTTGGTTTGGATTGACGATTTGAATGGGGCTGGCTGCGAGATCTTTCGTACAACTGCTGCAGCCTGGACGGGAAAATGAATATATAGCCCCCTTGCTGGGCTTCTCCTTTCTTTAATTGGGCAGGAGTCAGGACCTACGTTTCTGAAACCCAGTATGAAAAGGAAAGCCCCTATTTAAGCACAACGTACCCGGTGGGAGAAAGGAGGGCCCTAAATCCCCTTATTTAAGCCCAAATTATGGACTTACAGAATTAGATCGTACTCATTGTACTTGCATCAAATATCGGTACTCAGATCTATCATGATAAGACAATAACAACATTTCAATTATTGAAGACTTCAAAATAATGTCAAACAATAATTTCATTTCATCAATCATGTTGTTAGGGTAGATCTAATCAAATTTCATTCCATCACATCATGGTAGAGGAGGTGTTTTGAAGATATAGGAGTGTGAGCAGTACGAGCTGAAAGCTCGACTAAAGAGAGAGGTTAGAATATACTCCAATACAATTTTCTCTTATTTCTGGGGTCTCTTATACCAAGGCTTTAAATCCTTCTTTGTGTGCAACTACACAAGTTCGTGATATGGTACCCTAATTATACACACATTTGACACAAGTAACCAAAATGGAATACACACCCCAAAAGAAATCAATTGCCAGTGAAAAACTAACCATATACAAAGAACATGTACTTTTGTGAATTAAACTTTCGTTCTCAACTCAATAGCCACAACCATAAACACATGGCATATGAACAATGTTCTCTTTTGCAACCTCCCTCCAAAGAAAGTTCCTTAAGTTGCATGCCTGAAACTGAATATAGCCTTAGCCACATTACCTGAAACACACCTCATATCATCACATTTTTAGGTTCTCTTCTTGTAATGTTAAAAACTCACACGGTTGTGAATCATCAGACTGCCAATTGAATGGTGCACACAGCTACAAAGAGTCATCATGTGCGTCATCTCAGCTACTCATTATGGACGACAATGTAAGTTGTGTGCATCTCTAGTTGTGAGAACCACAGTTTCAGACAAAAAATCATCTACTTCATTCAACAAGTAATGAAAGCTTCTCCCTAATAAATCCCAGTCGGCCATAGAGTGCGAGTGCCCCTTTATTTGTTACTTCTACTTCTAGTGTTACCTAAGGATCAATTAAAACAAGTCAATGAACTAGTATCGCTTGGATTTTCATAATCATGGACAAGTTGCATGAAAGAAAGCAAGAGGACAACAATCCCAACATTTCAATCAAGGGCATACCAGACAATAGTAGACAAGTTACCATTAGTCAATATGAGTTCATAGCAATGTCAAATACTCGCTCTTAACGACTCATTCACAAAACTTGAGAAATGTTGCAACCAAATGTGGGATATCAGTAGCAGAAAACAAGTTTACCAAATCAATTAGCAATGTCAAGGACCCATTCTTGGAGATCATTCATAAGTTTTAGAACAAGTGTAACAGAAGTCGAGCTAGAGAGTGAAATATAAAGACTATTCATTGAGTTCAGCAATCAATTGTTACGGGGTTCAATACAGATTAAATGGCATTGCCTCCAATGTAATCTGAGAAATGAATACAACATCATTGCCTTCTTTTTTGAATTGAATATGACATACTAATCCATTTCAAGTCTAAAGTTGGTTCCATTTTGTTTCACTTCCGGAGCACGATTTGTCCTTCAAGATAAGAGTTGCATTTGTCAAAGAGGTCATGTTGGGATGAGTGGATTCTTGTAATTAGTTTGAAGATCCTTGATAAGGCAGATGGGCATCTGGTTTGATGGTGCTATGGCAGGTCAATAGATTTATAATCTTAGATTCACACTTGAGTATGCTTAGAACTTTGTTATCATTCATGTATATCATGGATGTCTAGTTCATTTATTCTAGCAACTGGAAATGTTGTTGTAATTGCCATACAACCTTTTCCACAACTGGGGATTGACAGTGGTAAGGGATTGACTACTATTGATGTTAGGGTTTACTTCTAGATCACTGGCTCTAATAGATGAAGGCGGCGTAGCTCCTTATATCTTAGCAATTGTGCATGCTCTTAAGAATCCCTCACCCTAGATAGTCTATGACGAGTACAACCATGAGCGCCTGCAACCTGACGACCCTAGCAAGCAAGCATTTGTTTATTTCATCCTCTCTGGTGGTCAATTTGTGTATGCTACCCTCATTCGTCTCCTCATCCTCAAATTTGTACTCGGTGTGTTGGCCAGTAAAGATGTTCTTGCCCTTGCCTCGCTCAAGGTGGATCTCTCAAGCATCGAGCTAGGAAACATAGTGAAGGTGAAGTGGCATGGGAAGCTGGTATTCATCAGGAATCGAATGGAAGATGATATCAAATTGGAAAATAGTATTGAGTTGGCATCTCTTCGAGACACACAGTCGGATGAATCCAAAACTAGAGTGGTTGATTGTTATCGGAGTCCACACATTTGGATTACATTACATTGTTGAATGCTAGTGATTTCGGGGGTTGGTTTGCCCATGCCATGGATTTCATAATGATATCTCAACTTTTAGTGAATCCAGAGACGGAGAAAAACCATTATCAAATAACAAGAGAATTATAGATAATTACATATAGTGCAATAGAGCAAGACTTGCTGCGAATTATCCTGGTCTCTACTACCGATGGGTTGAGTTGTGATCAACATGGACGGTTCAATGAAGTAGTCAGACTAAGAAATGATATCGGGAGGACAGATACGTGATCGTTTTGAAAAAAAAAATTAAATGCTTTTGTGGCTAACCTTGGTTGTCTTCATTAAGCGATCTGAGATCAAATGTGCCATCCAGTGATTGCAATTAGCTTGGAAATAGGATTATAGAAGAGTGCGGCTCCATATTGATTCAACAATGGTCTTTCAAATCCTGATGTTCATTAAGGAAAGTAGTGGTAGTGGTAAGCATTACATCCTATCCCAAAAAGTTCGGAAATTGATTAAAAAAACTAGAACATAATATCTCTCATACTTGAATGTATCTAGGAGACATGCTAGCTAGCCAATAGGGTAATTGAATTAGTATATCTTTCCATGTTCTTGATGTTTCGAATCCGAGAATGAACTTTTGAATAATGTACTCGATTAATTTAAATGTCAGATTGGGTCACAAGGACACACTTTTAGTGTCTCTTTCTAATGGAATAAGAAGATAGATTAGTTTTAAGTTTTAAGGTATGCCTACGGGCTACGGACCGTAACTTGGAGAAAACGATCGACCACTTTATAAGAAAATGGTCAACCTTTTCCAACAAGTGGTCTATCACTTGACTCTTTCGATTTATCACTTTCGAAAATGGGTCGACTTGATGACACACTTATCTTCAAGTGGTCGACCACTTTCCAAGAAAAATGGTCGACATCTTCCACCAAGTGGTCTACCACTTGAGTCATCCAGTCTACCACTTCCGAAAATGGGTCGACCTGATAACACACTTACCTTTAAGTGGTCGACCTCTTCCACCAAAATGGTGACCACTTTTCAAGAAAATAGTAGAACTCTTCTACCAAGGGGTCTACCACTTGAGTCAATCGGTCTACCGTTTACAAAAAGGGTTGACCTGATGACATAATTACCTTAAGTGGTCGACCTCTTCCACCAAGTGGTATACCACTTGAGGCAGCCGGTCTACCGCTTCTGACAATGGGTCGACCTGCGATGCACTTACCTTCAACTTACAACTGCTTGTTGGAGGAGGTAGACCGCTTTGGCCAAAACAGCCTACCGATTTCACAAAATGGTTTACATATCTCTTTCGGCAAATGATCTCCGCTTTCGACGAACAGTCGACCGGATAACACAGTTCCCTTATACTTACATTAGGAAAAGAATGAACAATAGGAGACCAAAAATATAAAATTATTTTTGTAGTAACTCAACATCCTATCAATTGTGGGCAGCCAAATTCCAACGTAGATTATAGGCCAAGACAAAAAGAAACACTCTCTTTTAATTCTCCTGGAATAAAAATCCACAAAAGCGATGATATGAGATTTAAGGACGTCGAAGATGACACAATTGTATAACAAATATACTCTACTTTTTGAGCATCTTCATAACAACAATAACAACAAAGTTAATCCATCACAAGACAAATAGAAACAAGAAAACTTAGAATTTGAAGAAAACATGAAAATCTCTATAAAGTAAGTCAAATATAAGAAATAAATATGCGGAACATTTTACAAATCTACAGGAGAACGATCACTCGAGAAACTTGCCATCAATGCTTGCAGCCTTTGTACTAATTTTAAATCTCTTACTAGCAAGCATATATATTGTTATTGGACTCTAATTATATATTAGGGGTGACAATCGATTTCCCGGTTACCGGTTTAACCAATAATCATACCGATAACCGGGATGTATCGGTATTCGGCAACTCCTCGAAGGATTTCGGTATACTAGCTTCTCTGCCGGTATATACCGACGGTTTCTTGGTATACCGATACCGGCTCCTTTCTCTCGACTTCCTCCCCAACCCTTCTCCATGTTCGACGCTGCCTTCACCTCTCTGCAACGCCGCCTCCATCTCTCCGATAGAGCACAGATTCGTGCACACCGCCATCGTCGACGTCTTGACTTCCAAGGGATGCGCCACCGTCGATTCGTCGCCGAAAAGCTAAAGCAGAGGTTCGATCTTTGCAAATCTGAGCACGTGGACTGGAGAAGGACAACTCGAACCCAGATCGGACTACAGAGGAGGTTCCATGCTTTTGGATCTGTATTTTGGTGGGAGCAGCAGGAGCAAAGGGAGGGCTACGATGAGATGGCGGCGGGATGGTTGTCGCCTCACTCATCTCCTCTTTCTCCTCGCCACTGGAGATCTGGATCGAGAGAGGAGGCACCGAGATCTATAGACACCCTCAAAAAATCCCTAATCCGGCGGCGACAACGACTGGAGGCTGGAATGATGGTGAGGGTAGAGAGCAAGCTTGTTCGATGCGGCGACAACAGCGGTGGGCACGATTAGTGTAGGGGTTGGGGAGATGAGAGGAAATCGAGAAAGAGAGGAGGTATGGCAAGGTTGGGGAGAGGTGAACGAGAGAGAGAGAGGAGTTCTGGGGAGGGTTCGGGAGAGAGAGAGAGAGAGAGTCCGGTTGTCGAGAATGAGAAAGAGAGGAGGAGGTGGGTCTCGCGATTAGTCGGTATAATCGGTTTGTAACCGTTAACTGGGTGTTCGGTAACCGGTTAACCGGTTACAATCCGGTATCGGTATTCGACTTCTCCCATGTTGTGAACGGTTAACCGATTACCGACCGATTACCACCCCTATTATATATGATGATATCAATAGGAATGGTTCATCAGGTGAATAATTTATTGAAAAAGGTGGACCGCTTGGGGAAAGAGGTAAACCACTTGATGGAAGTGGTAGACCATTTTTTTATAATGTCTTTTAGTGAAAGAAGTTGACCATTTGTTGAACATAGCAAAATGAAAAATAGTACATTTGATTGACCATTCCAACAATGAGATCGACCATTTTGTCCAAATAGATCGACCTCATCAGTGAACAGGTCGACCATTTTTTCCAAATAAGTCGACTTTATCAGTGAACAGGTTGACCCTTGCCAAAGTGCTAAGGTTTAACATGGTGAATGACTTTTGGATGTGTGGGCTTTTGAGAACATCACTAATAATGGGCTTCATTGCGTGGGTGCCTTAGGCCGCTGAAATGGGAGGCCTAGAGTGCTCGATGACGCGGCAAAATCCAGAGCCCACGATCCCACGCTCGTCAAAACAAAAGAAATTCCCGAAAGCTTTTACAGAGCGAAGAGCTGTAGGCCAAACAGCAGGAAGAGCAATTCAATTCAATCGAAATCCTCATCGAGATTAGCGGCCCCCTCCGGCGAAGAAGTGTTTTCCGGATTTTTGGGTGTAAGCAATAAGGTAACTACCGAATAGCGAAGGAGAGAAGAAGACGATGTTGAGAATTGGATTACGGCGTCTTACATCTCTCTCCTCCCCGTCGTTGAGGCCCAACCATGCTCTCTCTGCGATCGGGACGCAGAATCCCATTAACCGGGTTTCTGCGGATTCGTCGCCTTCCGCCGACGAGGTCAAGGCCGACCGCTTCTTCAGCTTTTACTTCCCCTTCCATGTCCCTCACAGAGGTTAGTATTTCCTCCTTTCTCTTTTCTCGCTCGTCTCCTTTTCTGAATCTTTGTTCCTTCTAATCTTGATGCGCGAAGCTTCGCTTGGATCCCCTACGGATTCGTTTTAGATGATGGATCTGATGTTTGATATTGGTGGTTTTGTGAGCTTGATGATTTTGGATTCATCCTTTCTCTCGTTTGGTTTTAGTTGCCCATGGGGTGATTCATTTCGCTTTTAATTTTAATTTTAGGGTTAATGAATTTGCCTCTCCTATAAAATTTGACTAGTGAACAAGATCTCTTTATCCTTTATGGAAACGGGTTGTGAGTAAATGGAAGTCGTACTTGTTATCCCTCAAGTTTGAGCAGAAATTATACCGTAGTGGTCATGTTATGATGTGATGGATTCTTGTAAAGACTTGAATGTCTCTGAATTAGTATGCGAATAATCTGGATTTATGGTGAATATGACAAAGCTTGTATCGTTCCAATTGCCTCTTGCACTGGATTTGTTATAAGAACTTTATTCTTCCATTTGTTGTGTAAAATATAAATCAAGTTCTGGGTATTGTATCTTCCTGCAGTTACTGTTCTGGTGTAACGGTAAGAGAACAATTTGCTGTTGTTCATGTCAGGTTTTGCTTCTGGATCACTTGCCTCAGTAGACGAGGAAGGCATTGCTCCTGGCACCTTAGCAACTGTGCATGCTCTCAAGAATCCCTCACCTAAGATAGTCTATGATGAGTACAACCACGAGCGCCTGCCACCTGGTGACCCTAGCAAACGAGCTTTCGCTTACTTTGTTCTCTCTGGCGGTCGATTTGTGTATGCTTCCCTCATCCGTCTCCTCATCCTCAAATTCGTCCTCAGTATGTCGGCCAGTAAGGATGTTCTGGCCCTTGCCTCTCTTGAGGTTGACCTCTCCAGCATCGAACCAGGGACCACTGTGACTGTGAAGTGGCGCGGGAAGCCAGTTTTCATTAGGAGGCGAACGGAAGATGACATCAAACTGGCAAACAGTGTCGAGTTGGCATCTCTCCGAGACCCACAGCCAGATGAGGCCAGGGTGAAGAACCCAGAATGGCTGATTGTTATTGGGGTGTGCACGCATTTGGGCTGCATCCCTTTGCCCAATGCTGGTGATTTTGGTGGATGGTTTTGCCCATGCCATGGATCTCACTACGACATCTCTGGTAGGATTCGGAAGGGCCCAGCACCTTACAACTTGGAGGTGCCTACCTATTCCTTTTTGGAAGAGAATAAGTTGCTGATTGGCTGAGTTCTCTCGAGTGTGTTTCTCGAGGCTACACACTCGATCCTCAAGTTATTCGTGTTACTTTCATCGAATTTTGGTCTAGATAATGCCGAAGAGTTCGTGGCAGACATTGCTTTTTTTATTATTGGTTGAACGTTTCCATTTCCGGAATGTCCACAGATGTATATCTAGCATGGACTCTGCAAGTGTTTATCTTTTCTGCTTCTGAATAAATTTTCTTTTCTTTTGGAACCTGTATAATCTTGTTCAAATGCACCTCGAATTGCTGATCAATAATCATATTCACCACTGAGATTGAATGCTGTGGAAATAGATACTTGTGAGAGTTGCTTTGCTTCATGAATGTGATGATTACAGGTGAATAATACTAAGGATGATCATTTCTCAAAGATGCCCTTTACATAGATCATGCCTTTCTCATTCAGCTGCAGTTCCTTCCTCATCTGCTCAACCTGCTGATCATCTCCTTGAACAACAACCTCTTGCAAGGTGCCATCTTCTGCAACTATCATCTTAACCTTGATCTGCTCCTTCCTAGATGCTTTGCTCCAGTAGTATGCTCCCCTGCGCTCAGCAAAATACAATTGGGGATCTTCAGTGGCATTCGTATGGTACAATTGATAAGATGACTGAATTCTTGGCTCCTAACTTACGCCAGAGGACTGAAGATGGTGATATAGAACCAGTTATTGCCGATGTCGGGATAAGTGATGGTGAGGACTAAGGCGACGCTGGCTAGGCTAATGCTAGTGCAGAAGGTGAGTAATGCAGCTTGCCCTCTGCTGGGAACCATCATGCCTTCGAACCTGAGAAGCCAGAACCGGCATTATAGCAAAAGTATGATGCGAACTGAAATAGTTCCAGCTGCAGCAAGTTGCAGGAGGGGGCTGGCTAGTTTAGAGAAGTACGTGATTGTCTCTCCTCTATCGGCCACTGCAAAATTGTTGCGAGTGAAGAAGGATAATATCTCTCCGGCGACTTGGTTGGGTGGAGCTTTCTTCTGGCCTTCTTCTTGCCGTATAAATGTCTTCTGCACAACCTGGAAAATGAAGGCAAAGCAAGACAACCACACTTGTATAAGATGTTTTGCTATCTATGGAAATTATTGAAGGGGAAGCGATAATCAGTTCCAGCCTACCTTGGATTTAACAGAGCGCTTGATGAGCGACCAGAGACCAGGAAGAGAGATGACGAATAGACCGAGGGAAGTATAGTAGCTAGCCAAGGAGTAGGTAGCGCCTTCCGCCAGCAAGTAGGCGGAAGTAAGGTCTGGTGTTGGCGGCGACGAAATTAGGACCGGAAGTTCCTGGAGAGAGGAGCGCACCTGTAGTCTTGTTCTCGTGGTTATTCTGGTGGATGGCCATTGGCGTTGGTGGCTATGGCGAATCAGTGTGAAGGAATAGTGTTGGAGGGAGAGTGGAGAAGACAGGTTCAGCTTGGTCGCCGTGGCAGTCGCAGTACCGCTAGCTGCTGCTGCCGGCATCGCCATTGCCGTTTCCATTCCTCCGAGTTTCGATTGATTGGCTTTGGATGGGATTTTCTGTCAAGTTGGCTTCCGGTGGGGTTAGTTACAATTAGATCCTGGAACCTTATTAAACTTGCATCATGGTCCTTATGGCCGTCCGATCTTCTTTCTTTTTGGGCCGTGTTATGGGCAGCATGAGCGTTTTAATCATGTCGATTGGATTTCGGAAATAATATTCTGGACTGGATATCACTGCCTCGTTTGGGTTTAGGTTAAATGATAGAGCTCGTAATTTTTCTGAATGATTAAAGATCGTCCGTCCTAAGTGTGCTTTAAAATAACGTCTCTCGTATGAATAAGGCGAAAGTGTGTAAGAGGAGATGGGAATCCGTTTCCAATTTCCACCTACTACCTCCAGCCCCCTTATATTCTTTTTCCCAGCACGAGGCTCGAAACATCCGCTCCCGACATGGCCGGTAAGAGTTGGGTTCTCGCAAAACCATTGCTAGGTGGGAGCCCCATTTTCTGAAAATCGATTTGGAACCCTTAAAAAAAGGGAAAAAAAGAGAACACAAAGAAAGGGAAAAAGAAGAAAAAAAAGGGGTTTCAACCATCTTCAAAAAGAAAATATGAGCACCTTGAAAAATGTGAGTCCATGATCTTTAGTTTTTTAGAGTCCTTTTGTCCACGATTCATTTGTCCTCTGATCACTATTCGCCATGATGCCGACTCGAGACTAGCGTTCTCGCCGAAGAAGTTAGGAGATGACTTGTGCGTGGGTTGACCTCGTAAGTTGCTAAATGATTTAGGACATCCTCTACCGACGATCGAGTGTGCTTGTTGTTATAGAGGTCTGGAGAGCTGCATTGGTTTGAGTTAGGTTTGCTTGGGGACAAGCAAACGGTCAAGTGTGGGGGCATTTAATAGACCACCATTCTTGAACCGTTTGAGAGTAAATTCTCGTGTTTTAAGCCGATTTCACGCTAGGTTGTGCGCTTATGTCATATTTCAGGACTTGGAGTTGACGTGGAGGCGTGGAGACGAGTTTCGGGTCAAAATGGAGGAAGTTGGAGCGAATGGAACTGGAGGAGGAAAATACCCGGTCAGCCCTTGAAATACCTGACTAGGTATTGCTGCTTTGGGCGCCAAAAGTCCAGGAGGGGGCCCGACCGTGAAGCTAAAATGCCCGATCGGGAATTCTGAACCTCAATCGGGCATCAACCCCTATCCACTCCATGTCGTTTTAAAATACCCGACCGATCACCTGAAATACCCGACAGGGTATTATGGCCGGGTATCGCGTTTTGCCCCTTTTGAAGGTAAGAAGACAAATTTTGAAGGGGTTCCGAATTTTAGAGAAAGAAAGCAGATACCTAGAGAGAGAAAGTGATGAACCAGAGTCTCCAAGCGCCCTAGATCGATCTTCATCACCATTCGAGCTCGGTTAAAGCTTGGAGAAGTGCCGATTGACTACCAGAAGCAGATTCTCATCCTTCACAACATGATTTATGTATCTGACCTAGATTTCCCTTATCTCTCTGTGGAGTAAACTCTCTCACTCACCTGGGTATGAAGAACCCTAGATTTGTATGTTAGGTCTGGTTGTATGAACCCAAGTACAAATTCTTTGGTATTGATTATATTCAATTGAGGTTTAATTTTCTGAATTGCATGAATCCTGATCAAATTCTGTTATTCCTGCTTTGACCTAGAAAGAGAATATCTGCCTAGGTTGATAGGGCAACCTTGATTGAAGGTAGTGAATTGACGACTTTAGTCAGGGAGTCAATTCACTATTCTGTACTGGATTTACCCCAGTAGAGGTGGTTTGGTACGTTAGGGACTCAGTATGTTTACTCCGGTGGAGGTTAGTCGCCCGCTGGAGACTCAGATTGAGAGGTTCTGGAGACCTTTAGTCGAGACTGAAAACTGTCTAAGAACCTCCCGCAGTATAACTATCGTTGAATTTGAACTTAGCGAATTACAACTTGGCTTAACTGCAGTCTAGGGGGAACCATATCTGGGTGACCTCTCACAACTTTGAACACAACTTTTACTGCTTTTGCTTGCTAGTTTAGTTAGACCTTCACTACACTTGAACCGCTAAATAATAAGAATTTTACGGAGTAGTCATCATACCTAGGACCCGGGTTGACATTTAAATCGAAACTCGTTATACTACGCATTAGTAGGTGGTTATACTTGGTCACTTTCTAGTGCGACAGTACAGGCGTGTCAGAGGATGAGGAGGAAGGGGAGAAGCAGGAAGCTGGAAGTGATTCGGGTTCTGAACGCAAGGAGGAAGAATTACCCGCTGAGGATCAACGAAGTAATTTGTTTCACACCAAGTGTCAGGTTCAAGGAAAAATTTTGACGATCATTGTTGATGGGGGTAGCTGCGCGAACGTCGTAAGCCTCGATGCCATCAAGAAGTTGGGGTTACCTACAATTCCTCGGCCAGACCCTTACTCCCTTCACTGGCTCAGTGATCATGCTGCAATGAAGGTGAACAAACATGCCAATGTGTCTTTTTCAATTGGCGATTACCACGATGAATTACTCTTCGACGTAATTCCAATGCAAGCAGCCCACTTGGTGCTGGGTAGCCCCTGGAAATTTGACCGAAAGGTCTCTCACCATGGCAGAAGTAATCGCTACACGTTTGAGCACAAGAGGATCAAGATCGCCCTTAAACTGCTGCCACCCGACGAAGTTTGAGTTGATCAAATGCGAATGGCGAACAATCGAGGCAAGGGAACGGGTCAAACGAGTGATTCGCCACCGTCTAAGGTGAATGAGGGCAATCTGATGGTCAGACGACATCTTCTGACTGTGCTTCCTGGCAAGACGGTTCCGCGTCGAAGCAGGGAACGACGACCCTGTTCGCCGGTGGCCTTGAATCACCGAATTGGGTGGAGCAGCTGGAGGCATTTCGGAGCAAGCGGCCAACATCAGCACCTTCCAAAGTCGCCCACCAACGTGTAAAGACGATGAATTCCAGTTAAAGCGAGCTCAATCGGCGAATCCCAAAAGCCCAATTCTGCCTCCAAAAGTGCCGAACAATGAAGAGAAAGTGGGTGAATAGAATGTGGAGTTCGGGCACGATTCGAAGCAATCCAGCACTGGGAATCTACTCCTGGGGTCTCAAGGAAGGTGTAGGAAGCAAGAAACCAGCTCGGCGACGCCTGAAAAACGAAACGCCCAATTTTCAAGTTGGCTCGCCGGATTCTGGAGATTTGTGGGAGCTAGTAGAACTCAATGCAAGCAAGAAAACTTCGAGACTCGATTCAAGCCGATTTGAGTACCATCGAAGCTCGAAAACCATTGCATTCGATTCGTGGGAGCTAGTAGAACTGAATGCAAGCAAGAAATCGGAACAAGAAGGCTTAAAGCGGAAAGCCCCAATTTCAATGCGGTCATCGAAAAATCGGGTTTCGCCGGAAAGAAAGGTTTATGGACTTAATTTTTACGATCCTGTTTGGGATGAGTTTGTTCATTCTTTTGCGTGTAGGATGTTCCAAGCTTTGAGGTCAAAGCTTTTTAAAGAAGGGGGTTTGATATGATCACAAGTCGGGCAGGTTTCAAGTTCCAATTAATCGATCAAAGATCGATTCAAGTTACAAGAACAAAGCTGGAAATTTTCCAAGTGTTGGAACAGTTTTGGGAACCCCACTTTGGAGGCTTGGTTCTCCCAATTGGTCGACTGAAAATGCAAGGTCAAGGGATTGTTTTGAAGCTTGGATGTTCCTCTATAACTTAGTGCACTTGGATCGTGGAAAGGAAGCCAGAAGGGTTGGATTGCAAGCCGTGCAAAACCCTATCTTGCAATTGGAAATCTGCCTGTTTTTTACTAAGGCAGAAAGACAGTTTGAGGTAGCAACTTTGAGCTCGAATTCACGAAGTTTGGGACACAATCAGCTGGAGCTTGGAGTTGGAATTGAGAGAGTGAAACTTTCTAAACCTGGGGAATGAATTGGTTGAGCTCGACTCAACCTAGAAGGCCATTTTCCAGGAGCTAGAAGTTGGTACGAGGACTGATTTCCTGGACAGTTGCTTGGCCGAGAAGGATGTTGCTTAGCTTGCAAGTTTTCGTGTTTTACTTGTTTTCCTTTCCTTGTTTTGTTTGTAATTTGTTTCATTGTTCAATTAGGATTGTGTTAAGTTATTCTCAGCTATAAATAGCCTCTTTCATTGATTGTAATGGAGGTATTAAGTTTAATCGAAAAGTACTCCGAGGAGTTTTTCTTGCGCTTGAGAGCTTGAGTTTGGTATGGGATTTTCTATCCTTGACTTGCAGACCTCGAGATCAACTCCATTCCGTTGATCTCGTCGTGTTTTCTACCCAAACTAGCTCCTTCCCCAACATGTTGAAGTTGCTAGTTTGGTTGTTCTACCCACAAAACCCCTTCCCATGTTACTACGAAATCATCATCATTCCAATCCATCCATTCTTAGGCTGTGTATTCTGATTCGAACGCTACCTAGGGCTCATCAGAAAACCTGCAGCCTATGGAGAAATTCTATATATATATTCTGATAATATTCTTTCTACTTTACTTTCATCTTGTAGGTCTAATTTAACAGGGAGAGGAAATAAGAATTTGAAGGACCAAGAGGTCTAATTTTAAAAAAGATGAAAGACCTTACTTTCGACCAAGTGATATCAACCTCTATGATGTTGCTATATTATTCTTGAAACTTACAAACGTGGCTGAATAGCTCTGGTTCCTTCATCTTTTCATGAACTGGCTTGTATCATGGTTGTTAAGATTCGACAATTCATTGTCATGATTTGGAGAAATATACAACTCTAATATGTCTGTATGTGGTGGCAATATAGTTGCTAGGTTAATTTTTCCTAAGAGACTATTATGTCTCAGTATTGTATTTATGCTCTAGTTAGCTGTAACTTGATGTTCCCTCCTGTTATTTATTTTCTGTAGTCTGACATTTGTCTTTGATGGTTTTTTTTTGTTGTGAATAAAAGAGGACAACCATTAGAAAAAAACCATAAAGTTGTATAGGAAAGAGTGTTTCATAAGTAAAATTAGTAGCAAAAACTCGGCACAAATCAAAAGTCAGAAGGTAGTGAAAGAAAACCTAAAACATGTTTATTTGTTGGTATATAAGGATATATGTGTCTTTTAAGCTATAACATATTTTTGTCTTTTAGTCCTACTATATAGACTCTAGACAATGCATTCTTAGAAGAAACACATTTCCATCATATACATAATCGTAATATTCTTGGGATACATTGTTTTCGGAATTAGAGGCTCCAAATGACCCCTATATATTGACGAACAAGGGCT